CCTTTCGCGCGCTGCTCGTCACCTTCTCCAGCTCTTCGTTGAACCGTGCATACAGTGCCTCATTCTCCGCGTTCACGTCACGATACAACTGGTCCAGATGCTTGCACCGTGCTTCCGATACCTGCAGAGACGTAGCTACGTCGCTCGCTATCCCCGATGTCCGCGACGACAAAAGTTCCAGTGTTGCCTTGAGCTGCTTCTCCAGAACTGCAATCCGCGCCTCTGCTGATCGTGCTCCGTTGGTGAGTGACAATGACGGCGCTGAGCTTTGCGTCGTCAGACGCGGTGTCCCCTTGGTACTCAGTTCCTGTCCAATAGCACTCAGCTCGTTCTGCAGCGCATTCGACGCATCATCAATGTCTTGTTCCTGCTGCTGCAGTCGCTCTCGCAGCTTCTGAGGCGACTGCATCTTGAGCCTCTTTGGCGTACCAGTAGAACCAGGCCCCATCTTGGTCGGTGACCGTGGTGTTGAAGGCGGGAGCTTAACCGTATTTCCAGATCCAGTCCGCTCGTGCAACCCAGATCCCGTCGGTCGGAGACTGGGAATGCCCGAAATCGTCTCGCTTCGCTTCTTTGTAGGGTTGAGCGACTTGATCGTCACCTCATCCTTGATCTCCAGCTTCGGCGTAATCGACTTTGACCGTGAGTGCCCTGGACGTTCTGACCCGCTCGTCGCTGCATTCTCCTTCTTCTCCAATCGCATCGGAGATCCAAGTCGTGCAGGCGTCGGTATCGACGACGTATGCTTGTTGAGCAAGGCCGCACTCGATGGTGTTTCCGGACGCGGCGAATCGCTAATCTGCCGATTCTCGTGACGAAGCACCGAATCCGTTTTGCGCGGAGTCTGCGGGGACCACTCAGGCACATCGTCAGCATCTTGTAATGTCTTGAGGTCACTCAGAGAAGAGCGCCGCTTCTTGCGGGGAGGCCCAGCAGCGGGCGGTACCTCTCCAATAGTTCCAAGAACCCCACTATAAGGTCGATTACTGGTACTCGGCGGTTCAAAATTGAACGCGCCCAGCACCGTTGGACGATCGCGAGACGATGGACGCTTGGGCGACAGACGAGCCGCAGCGTCGGTCGAGTTGGAGCGAGCAAGGGGCCCGACTCCGTTTCTTGATATGCTTGGTGACTGTGCCTCTGACCCTGCATGACTGTTTTTACTCAGCGAACGCCAGATTGCCCCTACTTTTGAATCGTTCTCAGACTTGCTGTTCTCCCGGCTCAGAGTGCCAAAGCCAAATCGTCTCCTGAGAGATGTGTTTGGGTTCATCGAGCCAGCCGCCGCATAGCGACCCTTCGAATCCATAGATCCGTAGATCGGCGTGCTAACACCGGGCGTCTGGACTGGGAAGAGTACATCGATATCTTCCACTAGACGATCCATCAACGATATAAAGTCGTGCGAATTGCCAGCGGGAACTAGCATCTCAGCAAACGCAGCCGTGAGAATGCCGCGGTCCCCATCGTTGCTAGTACCGTCCAGCAGTTCGGCCAACAGGTTGATAACTGCTCGGAATGCTCGCTGGTTTGGAGGTGCAAACTGTTCAAGCATGTTTCTGAAAAACTCCTCGAATTCATCCGGTGGCATCGTGTCTGATCGCATTTGTAACGAGACCAGTGTAGCATGAGATAACACAGGGCCCATGCGCTCTCTCCAACCAATACTCAAAAACTTTTCAAACACTGCAAACAGCACGTCGACTGATGATTGACTAGCCAAATCGAGGTTCCCGGGATTCTCAAGAAGAGTGTTGTAGAGTTCGTTGACAACGAGTTCATCAGCAACAGTCCGTGCACGAACAGAACGCCCGACAATGTTGCCTTTGCGTGCGAGCAGAGCCAGCGTAAGATTCGCAAGAGTCTCTTCGAGTTTCGTAATGGGATCAGTTAGCATGCCGTTGAACGAGGCGCTCTTATTGGTACTCGATGAGTTGGGGCGTGACGATTCACCATCGCGGCTTTGGGCGCGAGCAGGTGCAGATTGCAGAGGTGGTGGTATCCGTGGTATATCGCCCATAGTATGGGCATTACGCTGTAGTTTGCGTGAACCGCCGCCCTCCCTGCCAATGGTGCCACTGAGATTGCTCACACTTCCGCCAAAGAAGCTCGATAACATCTTGACTGGAGAATGGGGACGGCTCTTGCTGCCTCGTTCTTGTTCCATTTCGTACATTTCAAGAGCAAGCGACTTGAGTATCTGGTGGTTTCGACGTAGATAGGCCTCAGTCAGTGCAAAGTTCTTCACACTGTTGCGCAGCTGGAAGTAGTTGGTCATGCGCTTCGTCAGGACAGGCAGAAATTCCAGGCTCGTCAGTTTGTCTCGTGCCGTGTATCCGTTGGTCCCGTTGGTTTCCAGGAGATACAGCCCCTCCCCAAGGCTCGAGATTGTGATGGTAAGCTCGATACCATTGTCGCCGACTTGAATGGGTTGGGAGAACTTAGATCCCTCAACGAGAATCTGTATTTTAGCAGGCTCTTTCCGGCCCTCAATCTGCTTGCCATCTGTTTCCTCTGTGACAGACGAGAATAGACTCAGGTCGCCTGGCAAGGTCCGGACTTCCCATTTGTCGCCTTCTCGCTCCGCTTCCGAAAATCTGCCCTCAACCCGAGCCTTGGTGAATTCCTCCGTGAACTTTTGTCCTTTACCCTCATACGAGCCTTGGAGATAAAACATGCGGATTCCAAGCCTCTGTTGTTGTTCTCGATGCCGTGACCGCGAGGAAGGGTTAGCTGATGGCATCGGAGATAGGACTTGGAGGATGTTTCCCTCTGAATGCTCGCTGATGAAAACGTCGCCCAGACTCAGATGCTGGTGGAATGTGAGCTCGGTGTTACCGTCAAATGACTCGGCAAACTTTGGATTGTCGAGTTCAGCGAGCAAACCACGGGCGGTCATTGAGCCACATTCGGACTTTTGAAGAAGTATCAGGAAGTCAGTGAAGAGTACCATGATTCCGGATACTGTGGCTGGCCCAGACAGCTCGCCGTGATATGGTGGAGATAGTTCTACACAATCAACTGCTGTGATAAGTCGTCCTTGTGGGTTACATCCAGATGGCCATGACGAGACCATCTTGCGCAGACGGCCAGATATTCTGAATTTTTGTGCAGTCGGGCCCTCTCGTGTGCAAATGTCTGATATCATATCTCTTGCCTTGAGGAATAGTTTGATTGCCGGGTGCCGGACTGGCAACTGTTTCAGAATATTATCAATGTAGAGGTTGTATCGGGGGAGGCGTTGTACGGGTTCAATCAACATGGACGTGAGTCGCTGTTCACCTGTCTCGTAGACACGCTTGGAAAAGCTGGAGGCTGAGTCCTTGGTAAAGTGCTTTAACAGTTGCGAGAAGTCGCCATGTGCCGCCATGTAATCAGTGTAGCAATCAGAGAACTGCGGCAGCCACTCAAGAAGGGTCCTTGCAACTGCAGCCGCTCCCGTGACGTCCGGTGCGTCTTTTTGTCCTCGCAAAGGAGCGATGTAGACGTCGTCTGCGGCAGTTTCAATGTCTTCAATTGCTCCGTTCTCCGACTCTTCCAACACCACGCGCAGGGCTTCCAGGAATTGCGAGTTTACTTCCAATATTTTGTCCAGACTGGGAGGAAATAGACCCTGCAGTGCTTGCTCCGTTGGGCTACCACTGGAACTTGACTTTGATTTTGCCTTTTCACGAAACTCAACAGCCACCGTATGAATTAATTCGTCCAGCTTGCTCACATAGTTTTCTTCCGTGTCCAGCAATTCGCACATCTCGCGCCGGAGCGTCTCTTTTTGCTTTCTCGAGAAATTCTGGGATCGGTTGAGGGCGGTCGGTTTTGAGGGCGCACGGCGGAGCTTGGCAGTGGGCAGGAATGCCGATTCTCCAAATAGCTTAATGAGAGGTGCGAATTCTTCATACTTTTGCTGGGTCGGGTCTTCTTCGGTGTCGTCAAACTGGGCGGACTCTCTCGGATTGAGCTTGCGGATGCTTCCCTGCGGCAGGACAACATCGAGATCTATCCACGAGAGCGTTTGCTCACCCAAGGCATGCCGCACGTCTACTATGACATCCATGACATTCTCAACCTTGACCATCTTGGCGGCGATGATGGCAGCATGCGACTCTGAGAACAGCCTGGGTGCCGAGTGCAGGCTCTCCGACGAGCCATAGCGCCTGCTCCATGCGCTCTTGATCTCAGTGGGCAGCTCGAGGAAGTATTTGTAGAGACTGAAGGCGAGACCGCGGCATATCTCGTCGCCCTGTTCCTCGCGAGGTAGGCATGTTACGGCATTGTAGAAGGTGGCTGTCGGGGATATAATCAGGCGGGCGAAGTTCTGCAGGCCGGCGGGCGTAAAGACATGGGCTTGGATGCGCGAGTGCGTGGCCTGGGTGGAAGTTGCGGTCGGTCCGTAGAAAATCAGGACGGGAGAATTGGAGAGCAGCTCGTCTGTGGTGTAGAAAAGCGACAGGTCGTCTGCGGAGAGTGCCGCGGGCTCGGGGTTAATTACGACGCCCATGGTGTCGATGGCGTGGAAACGAGTGACGAGGCCGGACGGGTACAGCGAAGCAAGTGACCAGGGCAGCAATTAGGTTAGTGCATCGCTTGCATGGCGCAGCCGCGTGGGGACGGACAATGGTGGTGGTGGTGGTGGTGGTGGCAGGCGAGGCGGCGGTGATGGTCGTGGTCGTGGCAGTGGTCGAGGTGGAGGTGGAGGTGCTGTCGTCGTAGTAGTCGGGTAGCCATACAGGACAAGGGCAGCAGGCGCGTGTCGAGTCGAGTCCAGACAACAACAACACCACAACAACAAGCTGGCAGCGATCTGTTGAAGCCCGAATCAAGGCGGTCGTGCAGCAGCGACCAAGCGCGGGCGGGAGACTAGACGGCGAATTGCCAACGTGCAATCAGGGCGACAAGGAGACGCATGGGGGGTCCCGGTCCTAATCACCGCAGTGCCAGGTATTTTTGGTGCGAATACATGGCCCTGCAGCCTACTTTTGCTCCATCCATCCCTCCGACCCGCCTGCGAGCTAGTTGCGCATCAACCCACCCCGCAGTGCCGACGAATATCAAAACATCGTCGTCATAGCAGCTCACGGTGGCGGCTGGCTTCATATGCTCAAACCGCCCACGGCACGTTTTATCGCGCATCTGGGCTGGTAGAGTGCCCGGCTCCGGCAATGGCCACGCAGCACCAGGGCGGCCTGCCCGTCTCCATAGCACACCAACAACAGCATTTCCGCCTGCTCGAGCTGCCCCCGGAAATCGTTGAGCTGATAGACAAGCCAAATCCTCCGCTGTACGTCTGCCGTCGTATCGCATTGGATACCGACTCCCTTTTCTCACCACGCGTGCCAGACTGTCCATCAAATCGCAAGCTGCTTCCGCTGCTACTGGCACGCATAACGCAAAGCCCGCATATGCCGTACTCTGCACCCCGGACAAGTCGTTCCAGGTGCGCCAGGTTCAGACGTCCAACTCGCTCTTCGTGACCCAGCCAGCCCTCGAAGCCCATGGCAACGAGATCCCCATCCCTGTCACACGCGCCATTGCTCTGTGCAGCTCCACACTCGAGCTCCATGCCTCTTCTGCCTCTGCCATTGCTTTGTTGAGAGAGGTGCTCCCTGTGTACGACATTGTTGCTGGCGACGTTGACGCCACTCCTAACGGCATGACCAAGGCTGGCATATTCAACGACATGCCCCTGTCCGACGGAGAGTGCCAGGCAGGGTGGACGCAGCTTATGGCCTTTGACACCGATGAGGGCTCGTATCAGCCATCTCCAAGTGCCCTCTCCCATGTGTGGAGATCCATCATTGCTGCTGCGTTGGCGGAGGGCATCCCCCTCGACAAGCAGTTCATGACCAGCGACATTGCAACGGCCGTAGCTGAAGAAGGGCACCCCTCTCCTCTCACACAAGCCGTGCTTGCGTACTTGGCAACGGATGACACTGACAGGAGCGGACCGTGGTCCTGTCTCGACCGAGCAAAGACAGTCGCCTTTACCGGGAAAGCCCTGCTAGATGCCAGGCGCGGTGCTGACTTTTTGATTGCTGATTTCACTGACACGTGGGAGGATCGCCTACCAGAAGTATGGCGCAAAGATGCTAAGCTTACAGCCATCGAAGGCTTGTATGAATTTCCTTCAGATACAACCATCAAGGCCAAGGGTAAGGCTGCATCAGCCCCGGTGGTGGACAACGGAACGACGGCTCTAAAGCCATCGGCGCGTAAATGGCATGAAAAATTTGCCAAGACAAGAAACAAATAGACCATTCTGATTGTTGTGCTGGGTGATGAGGTCTCCATCACGTGACCGTGTCAAGAGCGCGTCTGTCGGCATCCGACTGCCGCGACTAGCGGCTTGGTAATATTTTGTAATGTTGTAATACAAAATTGATAAGCTGCGACTGGCTAGAACTACAACCCCCGCGTTAACATTCATGTGCGCCACCCAGATGACCAAAACTGCGATTTCGTATTTTCCTTCGGCGCAACTCTTTCCTTAGCTTATGAAGCGAGTCCGGTTCTTGGGACTACTCACTAGACCTATACGGACATACTACACTAGAGATCCAAGGCAGTGTTTTGTTACCAAGGCTGCTCTCCAATACCCCGTGCCCCCTCCCGAAACCATGTCGACCAATTCAGACGACAATGGCCCAACTGCGCCCGCACCTCCAGTAGATAACGATGCCACCGTCAAGCCCCCTTCTGAAGAAAAAAAGCCCCTTCCTAAACTCACGCCTTCTGAATTCCGGCAATACAACAGAATGGCTGTGGAAATGAACCGTTATCATGAACACTTCCGCGCAATGTGGAAAGTCATCTACACAGCATGTGAAGCTGGGAAAAGACCCGAAAACATGTCTATCCGCCAATTCATCAGTACATGCAAGCAATTCTGCCGTAAGACTACTTTCCCTCCATTCATCATCTTCCCTTTTACCCTCTTTATCCAATGTTCAAAACGTTGATATTGAGCCCTTCCTTCTCTCCCGCCTTTCCCAAATGAATTCTTCTTTTTTTTTTAAAAAAAAAATACTAACACTCATATCTCTCTCCCGAAAAAAGAAGGCCTAACCTTCCACCACACAATAGAAGAACAACACATCTTCCCCATCCTCGCTAAGCGGATGCCCGCTTTCAAGAAAGAACTCGAGCTCATTTCGCAGCACAAGCAGATCCACGTCGGCATCGACAGGGCTGAGAAGTATCTTCACGAATGCGAGTCTGGAGAGCGCGAATTACGCTTGCAGGAGATGAAGGAGATTCTGGATTCATTTGGCGAGGTGCTATGGCAGCATCTCGATGATGAGGTGGAGCAGTTGGGCGCGGAGAACATGAGGAAGTATTGGAGTTTGGACGAGATGAGGAGGATTCCTATGTAAATTTGCGAATAGATGTAGAATTCTCTTTACGTCTTGTCGTGTTTCTTTTTTTGGGGGGGGGAATGGGAGGTTGGATGTTTGAAACGCTGGGTATAAACGTTTGAGACGTGACGCTTTTCTTTTGCATCCTTTTTTCATTGTTTTTTTTCGTTAGATCCGCGAGATGTAGAACCAAATGTGTTTCTTGATACAAATTCGCATGTCTGACATTGCCAAACACATGGGAATGTTTTGTATTCGCCCTTTTCTTCCACGCTTTTCTTTTTCGCGTCTCAAACACGGTCCGCCCCACATTACCAACATCTCGAGACCTCGAAACATCTGACACTTGACACCGTCGAATCCTATCTCCCCGTTACGCACTACGGACCCTGGATCCAAGTCTTGTTTTTTTATTCCTTTGATACTACACTAGTCCAAGCTTTGGGCAACCCACTAACACCTGAGGTGTAAAACCCGGCAGCACAGCACAAAACACCCACAACCTCTCCATTAGCAAACATGCATAGCAAAGGTATCTAGAGAAATTGCACAATCTGATTGGTATATCCTACTACTACATTACATACCCGTGTGCAAGATGCAAAGGGGCAAAAAAACATGCTACAGCGCGTTGCTTTTGTAAGAGGAAAAGCCGATGAACCTGGGTATGTCGATTAACAGAAAGGGAAAAGAAAAAGGAAAAGAGTAAGCGAATGGATATTGCTGGCCAGCAGTTGAATTAGTATAACGGGTACTTCGTCCGATCATAAAGAGAGAGAGAGAGAGAGAAGGAAAGAAAAAGAAGAGACGCCATGGCGAGTCATATGTAGTCGGCTCATTCGGCTTGCGAAACGGTCAATCGATCGGCGGGGGGGAGAAAGACTGGAGATCATGTCGTAATGTTTAACCCGAGCAAGGTTTTCCGTTTCAAGCTCAAGAAGCGCTGTGGACTCTTGAATTCCCAGTCGATTCTTGGTGTCCAGCCACCTGCAGAGACAACATCTGGAAGCGTCGGCGCATCAGACGCGCTTCGGAAATGTACTGGGCTCGGAGGCTCAAAGCCATGGCTTCCAGCTGTGCTGGGACGAAAGCCGCTTCGTGTTGGGCTCCGGTTTGAGTGGCTGAACGATGTGTCGGTAGGACTTGCGAGTTGTTGCCAGGGACCGCCTAGGCGTCGAACGATTCTTGCTTCTTCGCTTTCGCGCCACCGCTTCTTTTGCTCGGCGGATGCGAAGACGGAGAGCGTGTTTGTGGATTTGGCCATGAGGACGGAGAAGCGCTCCGAGAGGATGGAGCTGCGCATGGATCTATCTGCTGTTTTTGGACGAGCATACGAACTGCGACCTGAGCTTCGCCTCGTGTCTGGGACTACAGGTGGCGGTGGGGTGAGAGAGCTGCTTGATGCGTTTCCGAGGTCGATTTCTATGATTCTGGGCGGTCCAAGTGGCCAGGTGGGTTTCTCGTTAGTCACTTCTCTGTCCTCTTCGTCGTCCTCTTTTATAGTCCGAAGAGATTGGGTGTCGTATCGTGTTTTGTCCGAGGATGCCGACCGAGATTCTTGCTTCTCTACGTCTCGCTGAACTTGCGGCTGAGAATAGCTCCCTCTCCCATGGGCGCCGTTGGGTATGTACCACCGAAGATCTACGCGAAAGATAGCGTACATGAGTATCGTTTGGATTTCCACAAAGAAGTTGAAGAAGTAAAATGCTCCTTTTCCAAGATACCCTGGCAGAGGTTCCGATCGCGGCGTGGGTGCTTGCAGAATGACACCGCAGCGATACCATGCACCGAGGGCTAGAAGTATTGTGCTGATGAGCAAAGTGAAAACCCTCGTGCGCAGCCGGCCGACGCCAAAATTGTCAATAGACGAATAGGGGGCGGTGATTGTAACGAAAACCATGGGCAACGGTAGTGTGGCGATAATGGCGAGAAATATTGCACCAAATCGTTGGAGGCCTCGAGTAGTAGCCTGTATATTTTTGTTGAGAGTAAAGAAACTTTGGACTGAAGCACTGATGACTGTAATGATAGTGAACACAAGCAGTACGCAAATGACTTTGAACGCAATGCCGAAAGCAGGATGCCAGCCGACCGAAGGATGTATGGAGCGGACGAGGCGCATTGCGAAGACGACATTGATGACGAACAAGATGACTACACCAGCTGAAACAAACATTTGTGCAGCTATGGCTAGCGAGGTGCTTGTTGGATGCGATACTGATGCTAACCGTACTATCGATGTCAAGATGCGCTCCATACAGAAGCCTAGCTAAGATATCAGTGTTGGGTGTTCCATTCTTACAAGACTTCGAGACTTACCAAACATGAAAATATTTGGCAGAAACTTGTGACCTCTGGATTGGTTCTGTCGAAAGATTCTCATATGTACAGCTGCTCCCATCACAAACAAGACTAAGAAGATCGATTGCACTGGAAGGTCGACGCTTCTTACGGGAGACCCTCCCAATGCCCATACTGTGGGGGCGAATGGAGGTCTTCGGGCTCCCTTCTTCCTAGTTAGCCATTGATTGCGGCAATCTTGGACAATGCCTTGAACCAAATCTTGTTACTTACCATTGGTGGAGGCATGCCGCTCTGCGGTACCATTGTGCTCTTGTCCTGCAAATCACCTTTGGTAGTATTGAAGGAAAACTGGGGTCAGCGAGAGCGCCGGAGTGCGTGAGGCGCCAGCACTTAAAGAATAATGCGGCGGTTGAAAAGTCGAGAGAAACTTCGTGCGGAGAGCACAAAGTTTATCATACTCATCACTCTGCAATGTGACAGCCTTCAAAGGCTGTCACCAACATGTGTCAAAACGGAAGTCAAACATGTGAGTTGTGACTTGTCCATGCGTCCAAACAGTGTAGTGTTTGATGTTGGGGTCTGAGCCGCGAGGCCAAAACACCGATCTTTGCGCTATTTTAGGGCTACCGCTCCACTAGCCAGAATTAAGCATCTCCACACGGGATGACATCGTTGATCTACAGTAGATCTTTGCGTCCCGCAATTGCCATTGGCCCTGGTTTTATCATTCAAGTATACGATAGTTCTTTGCGGAACAATGTTCATCAAGCATTGCGCCTCGTAACATTTTAGAGTTGTGCTGAACAAGAGCTTTTCTATTCCATCGAGAGACATTTTCATGAACAGCAGTTATTAAGCTTTATTAATACTGCAGTTAAAAAAGGGAACAAGGGCATGAAACGCCACGTTTACTTGTTGGTATCCGAACGAAACACTGATTAACTCCCAAATTGTAGAATCTGGAAACTTCTACTCGCAATTGTGTCTACCCGGGACAGTATAGTTTGTCTGATATTACGGCAGTGCGTAGCATTTACTGTTCCTGTTACCACAGGTCGTTGACTTACAGCGTCCCTTCCCGTCCCGCTGCGGCTCTCGAACTTAAAAACGAGGAGCCAATCATAGTACATGGCGCGAAGCTCCGCTGTATGTTTAATTGCACTTACTGTGTCATTCACAGACATCAGTTCCTCGTATCCCTCCGATTTGTATTCTCATACGTGGTATAATGACACTGGGAGCAATCGCATGCCACCTGAGAGTTTAGCAGCTTGATCTGCAATATCCCTTGATCATCATAGAAACCAATGGTGCGGTTTATGATACGAAATACTGTGACTAGAGTACGGAGCTTTTTTTTTCACTCTTTGCTTCTGAATCATCGGAATGGTATCGAACAGGAGTAATAATACTGGAGAACCATCAAGGGCCCACTCTTCCTGAGACCTTTGGAGGAGAGAGAACTGGTAGTCTTCTCAAATACTCCAAACTGCTGATGAGTGTCAATTGCATCGATTTTGGGCCAGTAAGCCGGTTTTGAAGCCTATGTAGATTGCGCGATCCAGGAGCTTCTTGTTCATCCCTTTGCATGGCTTGTAAATTATATGAAAACGCATCCGCAGGTGAAGGCAAAGGTCCACTTCCTAACGTGAGAGTACGAAAGATGCCAGGCCTCCTTGTTCTTGCCGACAAATAGTTTCCTTGGCGATCTGACTGCCTCATTAAAGCGGTTTGGAGCTCGTGATCAATGCGCCCATCATGAGCGAGATGAACATCTGGGATTTGCTTTGGAGTGAGACTACTCGTCTCTTTGAGCGTTTCATGGGCTGCAGAAGCTCTGTCTGGGGCTCCCTTTGTAGGTATGTTGCGTACATCTGAGTGCTGCGCCGTGTGGGCAAGCGGCGTTTTTCCCAACGTGACTATGTTGCAAATCTATTACTCGCATTAGAAAGTGGTATGAGTCTTGTATGCACCAATCATACAGGACCACCTAACGGATCTATAATCGGTCCATCGAGTTGGCTATCCTCTATGGGATCAGTCACCGCAATGGAACGAAAAAAAGTAACTTCCATATCCTAGAATGTGCAGCGTTAGCGTCATACTAAGTGACCATCTGCGACAGTCTCCTACACTCGATTGGGGCAACCCATCGCCTGTTGTAGTTCGCAAAAGAGCAAGCCGATGCACCGGCAGACGTCTTTTCCGAGTGATCAAGTGTTTCTTCGCCTTCTCGTTCATGAAGGAAGCCCCTGGTTTCCGTTTGGACGGTATGATACGTGTTGAGTCAGATAAGTGCTGTGATTTGTTTTTGTGTTTGTTGTTGCTGTATACGTGCACGTGCACCGGTTCAGGTGGGGAGGGTGGGATATCGTAGATTGACATGGTATGAGATTGATGTTTTAACAACTGTCTATCGTCTCGTGGAAGACTATTGACTTTCATCATTCATGTGCTGCGTCTGAACTGAGATGGGTCTGGTTTTTTTTGGCGATTACGCGCTCAAAATGGCGTAAACCAGTGTGATGTCAACGATAGCGAACATTTTGTACTTTAGGCAGTCACTACCCACCCAACTAGTGTCAAGGCTCTGCTCCTTGTTGCATGTCTCGGCACATTCGACGAGACAGTACGAAAGCAAATAATGATTGAAACGAGCCATCCCTCCCACACGAACACGCTGCACAACCAAAAGATCTACGCTTTTGGTTGACCCTGCTTAAAGGTAGATATAGCATAGAGGAGTACCACCTAGCGTATTGAACATATCCCGGATCTTCAACGTCGCACCGTTGATTCCCATCTCCAACGGCTCATCAATGGTAGCGTTGCGCGTTGGGGGCTTGTTCTGCAGCGTCAAGGTGCCAGTCACTTTGCTTGCCTCAGCCGGGTGGAGCACCTGCCAGATCCAATAAATGCGGTCAAGCATCGTGTGATGGAGGAAAAACGCAGGGTCGTTGACAGAGGAATAGAGATCTGTTGCGTCTCCACCCATAGTGTAATGCCCTGAGGCGTGCAACCCTAAAAACCCGTCCGTATACCGACCCTGAATTTCTTGCCAGAAAATGGGATGCGTTACTGACCCTGCACCAATGGTAACATTCAGTAGATTCTCCGTAGTGAACCACTTCTTAGGTATGTAGGGGCTGAGATCTCGGCGCAGGCAGTGGGGGTTGTGGTCGGTAATGCCAGTCGCCAGGTCATTGAGACCTTGCATACCAGGCGAGATGGGACCAATGTTTGCTTGCATACTGTAAACATGTCAGTTGTTTTCACATTTGCCATCTCAAGGTGTAGTATCACTTTTTGAAGGGACCGCTCTTGACACATCCACCCCCTTGCCCAGAGGGGATTGGTATCAATCGACCGCCAGCAAGACTTCCATTGTGTGCAAAGAATTCGCCGTCACCACCCAAACTTGTGTCACTCCCGTCAAAAACGGGGGACTCGTAGATGTTGTCCGCATGTGCAAACCAATCCCAGTACTAGCGGATGGGATATGGGTTAGAGTGCAGAACTTGCAAGTAGTGGAGAGGTTGAGACTCACGGGTTGGTAGCCTTTATAGCCACACTCGTCTCGAAGAGCTTGTTCATAAGCCCATACAAAGTAGCGATGCCAAGTAAGGAAGAGACCATTTCCGTGTATGTACAAGGTTTGGTTCACGTGGATGGCGACGAAATCATCGAAGCGATTCTTTGCTGCTGGAGCCCAGGACGGATCAGACTTGGGTGGCAATCGTCGAAGACATTGCACAGCTTCGATATAGGCCTTCCGATCCTTCTTGCTTATATATTCCCTTTTCAACATCAACAAATGAAAGCAAGTTTCTATGCATGACTTGCCAGCCTTTCCGTATGGTTGCAGTAGCCAATGAGCAACCTTTTGAATCCCTTTTGGAGACACTCTCGCGCTGTTTCAGCGTTTCATAGGCATGCTGCTGCAGTTGAGCAAGAGCTTCGAGGGGTCCAACAGTCGGATCTATGTTGATAGTCGACGCCGGCTGTGAATCGAGGGGAACAGCAGCCACAAGTCTTGTTGCTAGCAGCTGGCAAGAGGCAAGAGCATGAAACAACCGCATCGTAACGTGGAGATACTGGTTATGGGTAAAAAACACGACAGGAGAATTGAGACAGAATGCAAAGACGCAGGTCAGCATTTTTATTCACACACCGAGGACAAATTTCAGGCGGACCTGGACAGCCGGGCATACAGCCTGAAGTGAGAGTGGATGGTCAGCCTTGCATTGCATAACGGGGCGTCTAAGGGCTGACAGCCGATCAGATGCTAGTTACATGTGTCGCTACTGGAAAAGCTCTGCACTACCCATGCATTATGTAAAGCGCTAGCGATCCTTTCAATGGACGGTGCTGCATGTATATTGTCGCTTGTTTATTCGTTTATCTTGGAAGCGGCAGGCGGGAGGCCTAGAGTCAGGAAGTTGATCTTACCTACTAACACAAAAACCTCGGAATATCAACCCAAGTGCATCAATATCGAGTAATTGATGGAATCTGAAATTTCCTTCCGTATTAGTACTTAACCTTGCTTTCCACATTACACACACAAAGACCTTGCATCTATTTCTCAAATTGCCAGACCACAAAACGTTCCTATGTCGTCTTTGAGAACGCTGTTTGTCTTACACTACCCGGGCGTGTCATAGCAGCAAGTAGCACGCCGGCAAATTTACAACATCTAAACCTTGAAATAGCGCAACTTCCAACCCAGCATCACATGGTAGTAGTATCATTAGCATATCTTTTGAGATCTGTACATCTGCAATTTCCTTCAACAACTCCACTGATCAGCAGCTCACATAGTCACATGCAAGCTTGTAGCACACTGTACTGTGCCAAGCTACAACCTACAGTAATCGCCACAGCACACAAGTCCAGAACAGGTGTGGCGAATCACTGCCATCAAGAAGCTTCCAGCCACACTTGCACCGCCACAATGACGTCGCCCCACCCGTGTATATAGGCACCTTTTACACCCCAATTTCCTATCCACCATCCTCTCCAACACGCAACCTTTTACCTCATCATCACTCAAATCACCAACAAAACAACTACACAGCATCCACTAAACCAATCGATCAAAATGCCTGTTCCCATGCCCTCAACGCAGCAAACCACCTCCTCTACCACAGCAGAGACAGCGCAAAACGTGGAAAACCCATCAACACAAAGCGTAGCCAGCGCCACCCAAACCCAAAAGACTGAGGAGGAAAAAGAAGCAGAGCGACGCTACGAAGAAGCAATTGAAGAGGAGTACGCAAAGCGTGAAGGCGGAGCCTAATCAACCTTTTAAACACCACACAATAATAGTAGTAGTACTATATTTTTCTCGGCTCAAAAAAATGATAACCACATAACCACCCCTCCTTTCTAAACCAACAAAAAACTCAGTCTCCTTATCCCCAACCAAACGAAATCTTACTTGCATCATCATCTTCCACCTCACCCCAAAGCCTTCTTCAGCACCTCGCCCCTCCTCCCCTCCATGTCCAAGCCCAAGGCCAACTCATGCCCCCTCTCACTCATCTTCGCCCACGTCTTCCTCAGAATCCCCACAATCTTATCCTCATCATGCTCGCGCTCAAACGCCTCAAACTGGTCGTCGAGGAAAACAAGACACGCCACGTCCTCGAGCACCTGCGTCTCCTCGTCTTGCTTCAGCTCTTCTTTGCGTATCAGCGCGCCCACGCGCTCCGCATCTTCCGCGCTGTACCCGCACTCGACACAGATTTGCGAAACGAGCTCCGCCTGCCGTTTTTTGAGAAAGGTGCGCCAGGCGTGGTACCCCGGGCGCGTTTGCGGGTAGGAGCTGCGTGGGACTTCCCAGCGGCGGAAGTGCTGGGCGCGGATGGCAAGGCGTAGGGTTTCGGAGGCGTCTGGGGCGCGCTGGGAGAGGTAGGCAGTGCATTTTTGGGCGTAGTGCAGTTCGTAGGGCGTTGTCACGCCGTTGAGCTCGATCTTGTTGGGGTCGAGGGCGTGCGCGGCGTCAATGGCGCTGAGGGCCCGGTCGTAGGGTGTCGACATTGCCGTTGCTTCGTTATCGTTTTCAACGAAAAAAAAAGTAACTCAAGGGGGTTCAGGTAGAAGTAGCGAGTTGGCTGGTGTACTATATCCAAATGTGCACACGAGAATGTAGTAAGCCATATTATCGGGAGTGGGATTCGTTCAATCGGAGCTGCGCAGAGATAGCAGCGCGGGGTGGGGTATGTGTGTGTGCCCCGCGATTTTGTTCAGGTGGGGGGATGTCAATTTTGGTCCCTGTCGATCTTTTTTGAACACGACAACACATGCAAGGCAGAAAAATAAATCTCGCTCCTGGTTGGTAGCGTGTGCGTTATTCTGATAACCCGGTATACCTAAACCTGCTAGTCATTGTCATAAACATAGTATTATGCAGCCCTTCTGTCACATGTGAGAGACTTGTGAGACATAGTACATACCACGTGGCAAACATCGTCTCTTGTTCTAGTTGGCTCCCGCAATCGGCATTAAAGATAGAAACATGTATCCCAAAAAGGGAAGTATGGAAAACGGTATTGATTGCTGATGTATCTCGCACGTCATACGCCGTCAAATCGTCTATTTGTGTGGTGCCGCTCCGTTACTTCTTGCGGCATATACTTCTGTATGACACCCACCGGACGCTAGTCCCAGACTTTAGTCCGTACCCCTATTGTGGCATGCGCATGTATGTTTACGCAATCGTACTAAAATCATCGTCGATACCCGGGAAATCATCCAGGGTCATTACAAAATGCCCAGCACGCGGGAAGTTTTTTTTTCTTCCTATTCCATTGTGTTCATCTCCGCTCCTTCTCCGGGTGACATGCCTCGCTCCCGTTTTCCCCACTAGTTGCACGGGCAAGACGCTAGTCATACAGCCGAACTGTCCAGCCAGTTACACGTGGAAAGCGTCGGTCTTGATCGGCGAAAATGGCAGGCAGATGCATGCTGCGTCGGCAGAAGCTCTACACCAAGGACAATCGCCTAGTCTAGATGGTTTTTTTTTCTACTGGATACGCTCGCCCCAATGGTCTTATGCGATTCAGCTCCAATTGTCGGGCGAGCTCTGGCCCCAGGAGCCGCTGTTCTGTTGCGGCATAGATGGCGGTACTTGGAAGTAACTAGAGGGGTCTGAGTGTTGCTGGTCTTGTTGAACCCAGCCATTACTCGTGTCATGCGCCGGCGACGAGGATGCTGCAGGACTACGGCCTCGGTTTGTATTTACTGGTATACCGGGTCCGTATACCAGTGCCCTTCTTGTCTGGCCGCCCGAAGGCTGTGGAAGCTCAGGCACCGGCTGAGGAGATGGGGTCGCCCATGTCTGTTGGCTTGGGCTGGCATCGTATGTCATACCATGCTGCTGCGGACTTTGCCCAGAGCCATCATACGAGTTGTTGTACGAAAGTGAGCTAGTATAGGGACTCGACTGCTGAGGAAAGAGACTGGGCGGCGTCGCTGGCAGATTGGAATACATCAACTGCGGCGGTTGCGGCGACAAAGATGGCATCGATCCCCATTGCGGAGAATAAGTCGTTGGCGCTGCCTGGCTGCGTTGGTGAAGCTGTGCTGAAAGAGACGCTGATTCGCGTTGGAATCGGTCGCGCCAGTGTATGAAACCAAATCTTAGTCCGAACCTAGAGAGTAGTGTTGTGTAATCGTTGAGCGCATTGATAGCTCGGGTAGTCGGGTCTAAGGGCAGTGACTGTCCTGCCGGAGAAGGACTAGGGAAGGGGGGTGCATTGACCTGCGTGGGTGGGGCGAGGGGATCTTCCGACTCCACTTGTGTACCCGTCGCCGGTGCAGGAGGTACCGCCGGTCTCGCATCGAGGATGACCTCGAGATTTCGGGATAGAACGTCGACGAATTGGCGACCGGTCATGTATGCCCGCATGGCATCGTAGTATGTCACTGGAGGCTTGACAGTGTGGGAGGGCTTGTCCAAGACGGCAAGGAGGTTCGTAGCGTAGGCGATGCAATGCTCAAAGATTAGGCGCTGGGCATATTCGTGGATGTGGGGTATACGCGGATTGGGCGACAGAATGTAGACATAGCTGTAGAGCAACTCTAGTTCGAAGAAAGACTTGACTGCCGGCAGTGTACTCTGCGGCATATCTTGGAACCAGTCGGTCATCCTGTTGTACTGCTTCCAGATGTATTGGTAAGGATCTGGCCAGGGTTCGCGTCCGGACTGGAACAGATCCATGTACCACTCTGACTGAATTTCGCGAATCTTGAATAGATCAATGGCAGTATCGAATGATTGCTGGAAGAGGTGCGACTGGGGGGACGAGTATTTTGGCGACATGGGCGTGCTGTAGAAGGGGAAAGCCACGTTTGCTGCTTCATCCGAGAAGGAGAAGGCGCGCGTTTGGACAAGTGAAGTAGATCTGCATGCAAAGTTAGTATGAAAGATGTAGGGCTGGTTATGAGTATGCTTACCTGTCTAAGGAGTAGACACACCAATATACCCGTCGCCGTAACTCTAGTTTTGTGCGGGATATGGCTACGTTCTTGGAGGGGTCCTGGTGAATACCAAGGTCGACCATTGCTCTGGAAGCCGCGCCTACGAGTGTCCAGCTGTCGAAGTGGTGAGGGTCCATTGTGGCGTATATGGTCCAGAGAACCAAGGCTTGGATGCTGGCAATGTATCCCGGATGGAGGACTTCTTCGGCATTTTCGAGTGCAGCAATCATGTGTCCGACTGCATCTGTGTAATGATTGTCTCCCCTGGAATCTGATTGGGAGAGACAGGCAATGGCCAGGACCATGCGGACGCACCATCGGTCCCATGGAGTGGAATTGTTTCCCTGCTGATAGACGGCCTCGACAGATGAATAGAGAGTGGCCTCTTCAAAAATGGGCCAAAGGGTAAAGACGTTGTTGAGATAGTGTTGGATGAGCGGCGTGGCTGCGAACCTTGGCGGGAGCGGCTTGATCAAGTCACCTGACAAGGGCTCTTTTGTGCTGGCGGATCTGATAAGGCGAGCATACGACATTTCCGTGGTGAAGCCATAAAAGTCTCTTGCAGTGGCATTGACGGCGCTGGTTGGAGAGTCAGCAGCAGGTTTGCATGGGCATCTCAACGGACAGCACTCACAGAAGACCGAAGTCGGATACCAGATCGTCAATGTCGGAAGCTTCTCTCTGTCGAGCAGCACGCTGGCTGATAGGCTTGGTTGCCTTTAGGGTGTCTGTGGAAGCCCTGCGTGGGGTGGAGTCGTCGGACGTGTCTTGCATGATGATAACCGAAGACTTTCTCCTTGCTCTTGCTTCCTGGATCTTCTTCTCCAGTTTCTCGACTCTCGACTCGAGGGTAGCAACATAGCTGCGTTCCTTGCCCCTGGCAAACTGGTCGTTTGTGCTCGAGCATTCCGAGGCCCGATTGGACTTTTCACAGGCAGTGCAGGCGGGCAGCTTGCCGTCGCACTTTACTTTTGCAGCACGGCACCGGGAGCAGGCGGCGACGGGCCTGCTCACGCGGAGCAATGGGGTCTCAAGGACCATTTCTGGAGCGATGTGGAAGGGGCAAGCAGCAGTGTTGGAGCATGAGAGGTTGCAAGCGAGGTCAGTGAGAGAGAGGGGCTAGCTCGGGACGTGGGGCGATACGTCAAGGCCCGACTGGACACGGCTGGTCGAGGTCTGGGTGGTGGTGGTGGACAGGGCAGGACGAGACGGCAGCAAGCACAGGCACAGGCGGCGGTGGGCTCGGTGCAATGCAGGCGGACAGGCTAGCGCAGGGAGTGCCAGTGTCGCGTGGAAGGGTGGGGATGCGGTGCCGGGGGGTGGATTGCAGTGTGCATAGTATGGTACGGAGAGGAGATAGCGTGGTGTTGAGCAGTGACCTCGCCACGGGTAGGGCAGCGGGCAGCGGGCAGCTCAGGCTTGTACCGGACGGGGCATAAGAGCCGCCCATTGCGACAGTCGCTTCTGCGCGCTGACAGCTGACAAGAGGGCCGTTGATTGCACGGCGACGGTGCTCCTCCATGGCTGCGACGTTCGAGGCCTACGGGTGGCGGTGCCGCAGCCTACCCTTCCCTTGGCTAGCAGAGGCCATACCCACCCCCATGCTGCGCCCTGGCCTGGTTCCTTTTGCCCGTCCTTGCACTTCTTCTGCGTCTGCAAGCACTGGCACTGACGTCGGCATCGGTCTTGTTGGTAGTCGTACCATTGGCCCTGGCATTGGCACAGGCACTGCAACACAGCAGGAAGCACATCATCATCCTCGCCGCCGCACCACCATCTCCGGCCATGGCCGTGCACGCCCGCCCTCTCCCCACATGCCAGGCCCAAGAACAATCATAAACACTGCGCCCTCGTCGCCACCCTCGCCCTTGTCCCTCTCTCTGCCGCTGTCTCTGCCCGGACAGTGAGAGCGCAGCCATGGACGCCGCCTCGACTGCCATACAGACAAGCACCGAAGCCGCCCCGCACCCGCCCGACGACACCACCACCACCACCACCTCCACCGCCGGCTCCCAGTCTCGTATAGCACATACCCTGACGGCCTGCTGCCGCTGCCGCACGGTAAGCATCCCTCCCCGGCGAAAAAAGTATATAGCCCAAAGCTGACACGTCTCCAGCGCAAGACACGCTGCGACCCCGGCCTCCCCAGGTGCGGGCCCTGTGAGCGCACAAACTCACACTGCGAGTACTACGACCCTGCCAAAGGCCGCAAGATACCGCGCAATTATGTTGTCCACCTGCAGCAGAAAGTCCGTCAACTCGAGAAGCAGCTGGCTGACCTCGAGCGAGACGATGCCGAACCCGACCCTGAGGATGTCATGCGCGGGGCCGCCACTGTGCGCGTCCAGGACTCGGACGAGTCAAAGTTCCTGGGCCCCTCGAGCGGCATCACCATTACGCGCCTTGTCATGCAGCTGGCCAAGCAGTTTACAGAGTCCAAGAGCATCTCCGAGATTGTGCCACACTCGCGCGCAAAGGACATCAAGGACACCTTCACCCAAGAAGACCAGCGGCCCACGTCCAAGATATACTCCATGGTTAGTGATGTAGCGGCAGAGGAGCTGCCCAGCAGAGGGCTTACCAACCTGCTCGTTGAGCTCTTCTACTGCAAAGGTGCGTTGCTCTTTCCTTTTGATAAGCTTGCATAAGCTAACTGCTGATAGTGCACCCCATGTACCCCCTCTTCCACGAGCCCACGTTTACAAAGGACGTCGACGATGTCTACAATGGCTCCACAGACCCTTACCAGAACTACTGCGTGCGCATGGTCATTGCCATCAGCCTGCAGAAAATGGACACGCAATGGGTTGGCCTGGCCGACAGCTACTATCTTGCAGCCCTCAAGTACTTCGAAGCCGCCATCAAGCCCATGAACCTCAAGACGTTGCAGTGCTTTGGCCTAGTTGCTGGCTACTCTCTTCTAACGCCTACGAGGACCGCCGTCTATTACATCATCGGCCTCGGCGTGCGACTGTGTCAAGCATTGGGCTTGCACGAAGAGAAGACCATTTCCATGGGCCCGGGTGGGCGCTCAGCAGACCCTCTGGAAGTCGACATGCGCAGGCGTCTATTCTGGAGCATCCTTACCATGGACTATGGACTGTCACACAGTCTAGGCCGACCTGCCCACTTTGCCACGCGCCGCGAACACATTGACGTAAAGTTTGGAGAGCTTGTCGATGACTGTTACATTACTAGAGAGGGAATCAAGCCCGCGCCCCAGGCATCGCTCAAGAAATGGATCGGCCAACACTTTTACAAGATGCGCCTGCTACAGCTCGAAATACGCAAGATGCTGTACCAAAAGAAGAAACCAGAACCCAAAGATGACCAGCACCCCTGGTTTGCTCAGATGCAAGCAAAGATTGAGGCCTGGCGAGACACCAGTCCAGAAATGGATGGCGGCTCGGGTTTGAACAAGGTTTGGTATGCACCCCCCTTCATCCTGAAATACACGCCAATGCTTACTCACCATTCAGGTTCATTGGACGATACAACACCATGGTCGTCTTCATGTACCGCCCTTCCCCGCAAGTCCCCCGGCCGTCGGTTGATGCTGCCATCCGTTGCTTCGACGCATGCCGGTACAACATCTACATGACCATGAAGCAGATTGAGACCAAGAGTGTAGACGTCACATGGATTTTTACCCAATCCATTTTCATGTGCATTAACACCATGCTCTGGACCCTGTCTTACTCCGATGTACGAAAACTCCACAGTCGGGAAGAGGTCGAAGGCCATCTCGTAGTCGCCATGGAATCGATCAAACAGGCATCTGAGCGATGGCCCGGCGTCGAGTCTGCCATTGGCCTGTACCACAACCTGATCAGCGCATGCATGAAGATCTTCGACAAAGACGGCGACGTCCCAATCTCGGCTAGCTCACCATCCGACACTGCTTCAGTAGCAAACGGCAACGTAGATGGTATCAACCGGTCAAGAACTACAAGCCCAGCAACAGCGTCTACGGCATCAGTGGGCACACCGTCCGACAGGGTGACAGCGCCATTCGGCTACATACCAAACAATCAACCGCTCTTCAACTTTGTCAATGGACAGGCGAATGCACCCGCCCCATTCTCCAGCGCGCCCAGTGTGCAGCAGGCTGACTTGCACTCATCACCCCAACAGCCTCCATCCCTGACACACAATGATATGAGCCCGAAAACGTCCGTCGATTCCAGCATACCCATTTACACTCACCCACCCACCACACAATTCAACTCGCTACCTACAACCTTTGCGGAGCTACCTCAATGGAACCCGACTTTTACTATGCCGTCCCAAGACAACTTCAACATGCCCGTGGCCTCACCTTTCTACAATGAATCGTATGCGGCTAATCAAGGCTACGAAATGGCGGATTATCTTAACCCAGCCTGGAGCCAAGACTCTAGAGGAACGGGACTGAATCAGCAGCAGCAGATGGAGCTGATGCACGATTTCGAGATGAACGAATCCAAGAACATTGAGATGATGATAGAAGAGAGCCACCAGCTCTTCCGGCCTCCGCGGCTGCATAACTACTGAATCAACACAAATTACCATTGATGAACTCGACCTACACATTTAACACGTCACGAAGAGCATGTAGACCTCACCCACTGGGCTACAGACACGAACAAAAGTGCAATATCAACGTCTACCAGGAGTAGACTTGTGGACTCTGCACAACTTTGGTCTGGGTGGAAGGAATTCACATCCGTCTTGGCAAATCGACCCTAACAAGTCGCTCTTGTAGATCCCACTAGTCAACTCGTGTTGAAGCTGCTGAGAATGGGCAGCTCCGTTACCTTCCAGGAAAGATATTCATTGATTCGGGAACTCAATTTTCCTCTGTGACATCTTTCCGAGGTTCGGCACGTGTCACTAGTGACCGGAAGAAACCTCGCTTAGATAAGGTTGCTTCACGAGTCGTGAACCGTTGTTTATCGGGCCTGAAGCGTCGCCAAAACCTCGGTAAGTCGGGCGACGCTTCAAGCCCGTGTCCACCACGAGTCAGGAGAGGGAGTCATGTACAGACCCAGACTCCGACTGAGGTGAAGAGAATACTAGCGGTGACACCCAAGGTCATGGACACGATTCCAGCCCATGTGGATTTTGACACGTCTTGGTGAATATCTGATGTCACGATGAACGTTGCATGCAGTGTTGTTTCAAAGTTGGTTGGGGTCTTGGTGAGAATGGGCTGCACGTTGTACTCCTTAGTGTTGCATGTGTACATGATAAGATGACGGAATGTGGGAGTGGAAACTTTGATATTCTACATGTACGTGTACTTAGCTCAGCTGGCCTGAATTAATCGTTCTCGTCCACCAATACCGTACAAACCAGTGCTACATATATGTATGTTGCCCATAAGCAATTGAGCATGCTCAACGGTATCAGAACTACCGAATAACGTAACAATCATCGTTACCCTGACCCAGCAGCTGAAAAGTCCAAAAAAAAAACAAGAATAAGACCATGAATCTCCTCTTGCAAACCTTTCTCTCTCTCCCTCATCCATCTTTTAGCACCCAGCCTACCCCATCCCTCTCAACCCAAGAAAAAAAGTGAAACCGCAAAAAAAAAAAAAAAAGAGAACAAGTCAAACCACCTACTCCTTCCTAAACCCACGCTAACCTCTCAAACTCCCCATCCACCCACTCCATCAACTGCTCAACCACCTCCTCAACACGCACCCTGTCCCCCCACACCTCCCACACCTCCCTCAGCACCCCATACACCCAATCCCCGCCCCTCATAACCGTAACATGCTCCCAATCCAACACGGTCGGCCGATTCTCCTCGAGGTCCTCGACAAGCTCAAGCAGCGAAAAGTCGGGCGTGATGGCGTAGTCGTCTCTGATATTCTCGACGGCGATGACGGCGCCGGTGTGGAAGTGGGGGAGGGCGCGGGGGGCGAGTGGTGAGGGGTATGGGGGGAAGGTGAGGGTTGAGATGGAGATGGATGCTGTGTGGCGGCGGGAAAGGGACTCTGCGAGTTGGCGGGTTGTTGGGGAGATGGGGATGGCGGGGTCGGAAATTGCGAGGGCGGGAGGTGAGGGCGAGGGAGACGGGGAGGAGGAGCATGAGGCGGAGGAGATGGAGATGGGAGGGCCCCGGGGCGGACGAGGTGGTAACGAAGAGGTTGCTGGAGGAGGAGGAGGAGAAGGAGGCGGTTGGTTGGGAGTGCAAGGTCGCTCGAGTCTGTCTCTGTCTGACTCGCTTGGCTGGTGTGGAGCCGATCTGACATCTTGCATATGCGAAACGGGGTTAGAGAGTTCAGTGAATATGCGTGATGTTCCTGGTCGTACTGATAGCGTGGGAAGACCGAGGCTGGGGACGGGGATAGCCAGGTTTATACGTGGCTCTATTGGTTGTGCTGGGGGTGAAAGTATAATTTCGTTGCGGAGAGGCGATGGCGTAGGTGCTTTTTTGGGTCTTCCTCTTCCTCGTCTTCTTTCTCTTCCTCTCGCGGGTCTGACGGGTTCACTGGCTGCACGTGGTGCTCCTCTTCCTGCCACGGGTCCGGCTGATTGACTGGCTACACCTGATGATCCTTCTTGTGCTGGTGGCTTGGGAAGAATGGGTCTGAGGTTGAAGACATGGTGGCGTGGAAGTAGATCTCCTACAGTCGCTGACAGCGGGGGAAGGTTGTGAGATGATAACACGAATTCGGGGCGGAAAGGTGCTAGTGTAATGTATTCTCTGGCTTCTCCTTCCGCTGGTTTGGATTCACCTGGTGCTCCTGCTTGGTTCGGCAGTGGAGGAAGTCTGCGGTTGGAAAATGCGGCTCCTGGGGGTGGAGGTGATGCTTCGATCTGTGGCAGTGACGCGAGAAGATTAGGAGAGACTACGAGACCCTCACGACCTGCAAGTAGTGCTTCTAACTGTCGTATTGACTCAGGAATGTTGGGAGAGATGAACAGATCTTTGGGAATCCGAAGCTTTGCTTCTTTTGAAGCGGGAAAATTAGAGCTGAGAGCCTGGGACTCACGACGTGGAGGTGGTGGAGGCGGAGGCGATGGAGGATGTGCTAGTGGAAGTAGTGCTGTAACTGTTACTTCCTTGTCTATTCTGCCCTGTTCTACGGGTTTCTTGGGTAGAATCGATACTCTTGCTTGTGTTGGTAACGTTGGAAGCCTGAAGCTAAAGGAGCTATTGCGTCGTAAAGACTCTCCTGTAAACATCTGCTCAGGTCGCGGTGGTGATGGGCGCCGTGATCTCATAAGCGGATCGGCCAAGTATACTTCTTCCATGGTAGGCTGGCATTGAGTGCGTGAAGCATATTTTCTCCGGGCATTTTCTACGAGTGGTTTTTTCTTCTTTGGCTTGTCTTGTTTCTTGGTGGTCTGTTTGAGAGTGCTGGCTTGGTTGTTTGAGTCTTGATTTGTACTGGACCGGGTGACACTGGCTTGCGTACTAGACTCTCCCTGTGCACTGGACTTGCTCGAGGAATTGGCCCTTTTGAATAAGAAGTCGTCGACTGTTGTGGCACTGCCGGCAGTGTGACCGTCTGAGAAATGGACTCTCTTCATGTTGGAGGTTGGTTCTTCGAACGTATAACCCATGGTAGATGGAGTGCCTGTACAAGGTGTGTCTAGACTTGTCGTTCCCGTCGTGAAGAAGTGGCTGTTGGTACCGGAGAAAATATCAATGTGTCTGGGCAGTGTATTCCTGCTGCGAGTCTTGAGTATGTTAGCCTTAAACAGTTCGAGAAGATCTTCTGGGAATGGGAACAGATACGCCTAGCGACTTGTTGCTGTCACTTGTACTTGAAACACGCAATTTGACAATCAAGGAGGGCAAAGGGTCTGCTGGCTCCTTCGTCTTGGGAACATTCTTGGGGGGTCCGTAAAGACGACGCTTCGAATCTTTCCCAGGTGTATCAGTGTTGCAATGCGCGCGGCACTTTCGAAGCTGCCTCGTTTCGACTGCATCCGCGACCATTGACCTTTCCAAAGTCACTGATCTCGAGCGTCGGCCTGCTGCCAGCGACAGGGACCGACGCTTGAGATCAGGCTCGAAATCTGGTATTGGCTCAAGTGTGTGCTCCGTTGGATCGGCTGGAGTGCTTGTCCTTGTCCTCTGTGATGGCGTGAGCCGAGCATCCCTCTTCTTGTACACGAGTGCAATTTCTTCCAATGCATCGTGCAGGAATGTGACAAAGGGCGGCGTCTTGCTGGTTGCTTCGAAGATGCCGGACTTGAAGGCCTTGTCACATATTTGAAGGGCTCGGGCTCGGAGGTCAGGTGGGAGGTCTTCGTCGATTGCGATGGCGTATCTGCGTTTGAGAAGTTGTCCTTTGGCATCATTATCGCTTAGAGTGCCTTCCCTGATCGCTATCAGCAACTTGGTGTCATCCATCGCTCTGTGGACTGAGGCTCGATGCGGTCGAGCGGCGAGAGGTCGATGGATGGCTGATGTCAGAGAGAAAATACCAATGGGAGTGTGAACATATCTATATATACTGTGTGTGCGTGGTATTAGCGAGGATAAAAGACTGCAAACGTACTTGCTTACCACGCAGTGAAAGCGAAAGACGCTACGGCCCTACAGTGATGAATGCGAGACGAATACTCTACAAATGCGGCCGAGGGCTATGAGTTACAAACCTCATTTCTTCGAGTAGCTGAACACTTACAACATCAATTGGAGCAGATATCCTCCAAACTGTAAACATTTGTGCCATACTTTGAGCGGTATCTGCTTTCGACAGAATGTAACGTGAAAGGTGTGGCGTAACCGCGGCCGTGTGCTTGCAATCTCTTATTACGGCAAAGACCAACCTATTTGATGTCAGATCAAGGTGAAGGCCGCTAGGCACGACTGTAAAATACGGTTTGACAGTGATTCAAAGTACTTGGAGGAAGCATGCACGTGAGCTTAGGAGGGTGAGCCCATCCTCACACGGACTAGACTGTATGTGCTATCTTGTGACTACCACTATCTTCAAACCACGTACTACTAGAAACTATCTGTGGTTTTCTGTATGGCCATCGAGCGTCCGTGCAGAAAGCCCTTGTTGTTGACCGTATTCCAGAAGACGCACCAAATCTGTAACTCACTGCTCCTAATAGGGGATTGGCCAGCCTCTCACTCCAACTTCGGGTCCGAGGCAGCAAGTTTTGTCATGTGCCGCAAGCACCCTCCGATTTAAACCAATGCGGACAGTCAAAACCATATTACATTGATCGTTATTCATTATGAAGAGCCGAGTTTAAGCGCACACCAGCACAAGGTCCGTATTCCGCGATTCCTGACCCTCGAGGAATCTAACATTTCAAAAAGCCAAAATCGCCTACAGCTACCAGACGCCGCCACTAATTTTTGATCCAACGAATTGAAGGAGAAGAGCGAAAGAATGCAAAATAGAAAAACAACTTTTTCATACCACACCTTGCTCAGGAGTCTCTGAGCGAGTACTAAGCGAGCAAACGGTCTGTGTCTCCCGCATATCAGCCCTCTTCGCATCTCTCGTTGCTGCGTCAACAGCATCGTGAAGATCAAGATGGAAAAAGGGTCTATCGACACCATACATGGGCTCGAAGCGCATCTTCGTGTCTGGATTGCTCATATGAATCTGCTTCTCACTCGACTCCACGGCTTCTTTACACGACTCTTCATCTTGTACACTGGCGCTCCTCTTCATAATCTCCATCTCTTTGCGCTCTTCATCTGTCGCACCAGCCAGACTTGTAGTGACGGTATAGGCAGGACACCAATTACTCATGCTGTCGACGTTTGTGGTTGCAGGGAATCCGAAACCCGCGAACGAAAGCGCTTTGCGGGTCCATCGACTGTGTACACCGGCGAAATGCCACTCCACCAAACCAGGTGCTGCATAGCGGTCTAGAGTTTCGCGCAGGGCTTTCAAGCCGTCGATACTGGTGATGTCGAGAACGTTGACAGTAGAAAAGTCGAGTACCACTGCCCGTAGAACTGGCAGTGAGGCAGACTCTTGAATGTGCCTTTCGGTAGGCGGGGCGTCGCACCAAAGGCGTTCATGATCATGCATGCCGTCATCTGTTTGCGTTCGGCGGGTGTGTGATTTGATATAAGAGGTCAGATAGTCGACGTGGTAGGCCTGGTTGATGTAATTGAAGTTCTCGCTAAAGCGGTAGATGAACACACCCGGGTATGTGGGTTCGATCGTGATATTCGGGTTGTGGTTGTCTTTGACGTCGTAGGGAATGTAGACCTGGCGCATTCCCTCAACATGTCCAACATGACGAACCGCCGGAACGTCAAGTGCTTTCCCAGAAGATTCTTGGTTGGAAGGTAGATCTTTGCGCACAATGCGTGTTACACTAACTGGGCCACGGAACTTGCCTGGGCTTCTGGCCATGCGAACTAGAAGCATGGCGAAAGAAAGACCGACGGTTACATAGATGGCTGTCTGGAGATCGGTGAAGAAAGCAATGACGACACCACATACCCAGATGAATAGCTCGAATGGGGAGAGTTGATAATACTTGTGCAAATCCTTTGGGCCTTTGATCAAACCAACAGTAGAGTGGATAATGAGGCCAGCGAGTGCTGCATTAGGGATGTAGTCGAAGACTGCAGTGAGCGCGTATAGTGCTAATAACAACACTAACGCGCTGAAGAGTCCAGAGAGCGGGGTCCGCACTGCTGCTTTAGCCAACACAGCAGAAGCACCAAAGGATCCAGTACAAACATAGCCACCGACAAATGGACTGAACAGGTTGGCAGCGCCTTCTGCAATCATTTCTTGAGATGGTATGACTGTGTAGTTGTTCTGACGACCAAAGTTCTTCGCAATTGCAATGTGTTCAACGATGAGAATGATGATCATAGCAGGCAGCTCGGAGGCAACATTCCCGAAAAGTTCGCCATCCATCGGCGGTACGCCAGCGTGACTGAAGCCTTTCTCGATGTGGCCGACAGTACGAAACTTCGTTTTGCCTGCATGCGTTTTCCGGTTAACCAGCCAACTAACAAGAGTGTAGAGCAGTACGGTGAAGGCAAGACGCAAAGAGGATATAGTGGACCACATCTTTTTTCTCCGTGGCTGTCGTACCTCCATCTTAGCGCAGGTGTTCTTGATGAGAAACAAGAGGATGATAGATGTAATGCCGATAGCTGCATCGAGTTTTGTGCGAGGCAGACCCTTTAAGAAGTTGCCCAACACCTTGTATGGGGCATCGCGCGTATTTATGCCGGTCACACCCATCAATGTTGGCAGCTGGGTTAAGATGATGGTGATGCTTGCTGATGTGATGAAGGCCGAGATAGGTATGTAAGGTACGAATTCGATGATGAAGCCAAGGCGGAGAAAACCACAGGCGAGCAAGATGACACCGGATAAGAAGCTTATGGCATGAGCGACTTGCTCAGGAGTGTACTTTCCCGGATGTGAGTTCTCGACCTTGTTAACAGCATTGCCAACCAGGAGTGAGCCAACAGCGGTAGTCTATATGCGGGTCAGATACTGAAATGCTGATATGGAGAATTTGACCTACACCTATGGAAATGTCTCTTGAAGTACCGAATATCCAATACAGACCTGCGCCTGCAAAGGTAGTGTAGAGACCATATGCAGGCGATAAGCGAGCAAGCGACGCATATGCTACTCCCTGGGGAACAACGACAAGACCGACAGTGATTCCAGCAATGGCATCACCGGCTAGCCAATGTAGGTTGTACCTTCTGATCCAGCGCGCACTCGGAAACACTTGAAGAAAATACTCGACAACCCCACGTCGGGTTGGAACGAACTCGCGGAACCATTCCGCCACCGACGGATCTTCTTCAATGTATGTTTCTCCAATAGTTTCAAGGGCGATGTTCTTAAATGTTTCTGTCTGTGCGCTACGGTCTTCGGAAAAGGTTGGTAACAGTTTCATCTTTCAGATGTTAAGGATATGCTGAAGGGTCCGGAAGAGACCGGCAGTATTAAGAAGGATATTCCGCTTGCACAAGCATGTATAAGAGACGTAATAGTGGTAGGTCTTGTGACAGTAGCGTCGGGCTAGAGCATATACATGTGCTCTGTAGGGTCCCAGGAGTGATGCAATGGCTATGAAACAAAATGCGGAGAAACTGTTCAGGTTATAAGTTTACCGATACTGGCTTGTCCTACGGCTATCTGGACGCTCTTTGCGCGGAGTTTTATCCACTATCATGCGTTTGCACTTGGAGCATCTGGCCGACGAGCCGAGAGGTCGGGCGAGAGGCCTTGGCGGCATCGACACGGCGACTTAGTATCGAGACCGTATATCTCCTACGTAAGTCAAATGCATAGTTTAAAGGTAACAAAAAGTCCGATATATTCACAGCGCCGGTAAGAGATGGGTGCATGTGATGCATTTGTAGCTTTCGAAACCAGTGCTCGCTCCGACGTCTGTGTAGGCACTACAACCTCACACTGCACCTCTCTATGGATCTACATTCACATTTCCCGGATTCAGCTCGACGATAGGAAGTCGGTGTGGGATACTGGTGATAGGATGGTCCAAAGATCGACTAGATAGGAACGCGCATGGTATTCCAGCATGGTGGTGGTGAGCCTCTGGTGAGGCGAGGCATCGCTGCCAATGCCAAGCTCTCCGACTCGGATCCTACTATAGTACTAGTTGAGGGCCCACATCGGGAAGGTCGTGCATCCTGCGGGGAGGTGTTGCTCGCCATCACCGGCTCCTTATCTTTCTATTCACTTGAGGCGTTTCTTGCCCTAGGACGTTTGGGTAGCTAGGTGTTCGCTGGCCGTGTTAGCTCCTTCGAGTACATCGACATTCATACATAGCTTTCTGCTTTTACTAGTACCCCATGATCAGTAGTAGTAACGCACGGGCTTGTGAACTTCTCGTATAATCCCAATACTAGCACTTCAGAGGCGTGTTTCCCACATCAGCATACTCTCAGTTACTCTCACCGTCATCAATGGCTGTGGTACTGTTATCGTCCGTCTCCCATTCGCCACCGTCATCATTCCCCTCACCTTCGTTTCCATCGTGGTTGTGGTTGTGGTTGGCATCGCCGTCTTGGCACAGACAGCAAATGCATTCGTCCGGCAGACCTTCCTCTAACCTCCATTTGCGCACAATACCTCGCCCCAAACGCTCTCCACGAATGCAATTGCCGTCGACGTAGACTGATAACGACTTGTCGCGATTTTTGGCGAAACCAAGCTCACCCGGCTCCATATGCGCAAAGTCAGCAGCTGAATGTTCTTCGTCTTGTTGCTCTTCCTCCTCGGGCTCTTCGGCGTCTCGGTCATGCATGTCGTCTTCGGCGTCAACCCATTGCCCTGTGACCTCTCCCTTGCACCAGTTACAAAGAATTTTTGGCTGTGGACCCGCTCCGAAACTCGCCCCACAGGCACATAAGTGACGGTGGCCGCCTCCGTCGTCGTCTTGAACAACGATATGGCTAGCCATGGCTTTGTCCGCGTGATCTTCTTTTACGTAGCAACCCACACATAGCCAGCGGTCGAGGAAGCGCTTGCGTAGCGTGCAAGAGCATCGGGATGAGCCTTTCTTCTGACGTTCCTTGAAGCATGCCAAGCACACGAGCTCTTTCCGCAGGGTGATAATCATGTTGAGGAACGACACAATCTCGTTGCCGCTATATGGAGGTTGAGTACGACCAAGAGGGCTGATAATCTGTTGCTCGCCCAGATTGATATCCAAGAAGCGCTCTATCGGCTCCGGATCGCCAATAGCAGGAATGTGGAGTGGAATGTGGAAACGGCCGCGATCGTGGAGAGGCTCCATTTTTTCGACAGAACGGTGCCAGGCGGATACATCGCCATGCTTTGGTGGAAAGACAGAAATGGAGGCAGTATTCAGAAAGAAGAAACCTGCCCACCAGCGACGTTGGTCGTACCCAGCGTCCTCGACGAGATGGTTGTAGAAGACATGTATCCGGCATTCGTCGCATGTGTTGATTCCGCACCCCACACACGGACGCGATTCAGTTCGAAACCCATCGCCGGCACAGCCGATAGTTAGGCGAAAACTCTTTGCTGTGCACGCACAGTGAAATAACGTGCGCAAATAGGAGCCCAGCCCAGCACACAAGGTCTTGGAGAGTAGGTTGGCCTTTACCCTGGCATCATGTATCTGGATGTGGTTGTGGAGTGTTTGGCACAACTGGGTCACTGTGACCAAGTCATACGGCGGAAGGTACGAAACAAGTGTCTGTCGTTTATTAATGATTAAGCGCCAAAATTAGTAACCGGGTGGAACCTACTTCTAGTACCGGATATAAGGTCAGTGCCACTGCGAGCGGGTTGGTCGCGTTTGAGATAGCCGTAGGCTTCTTCCACATACGAGATTGCGCGGCCTGCTTGGAATTCGTCATCTTGAGAGATTTTTTGTGAGAACCGTTCGCAAAGAATCTAGTGGGAAAGTGTGCCGGTACTCGAAAAGGCGTGTGGTTGATGTAGCCACGGACTCGCCCGAAAAGCTGTACCGCCACAATGGACGGGTCCCGCAATGGGTTTTTGAAGAAAGGGATTACAAGGAGATGGACAATCAAAAAGGAAATACGGCGGAGGGAAATGGCAGTGAGACACTCAAGGCATAAGTTTCAAACAGGAAGTCGCATGTGGCACGTGCACAAACAGTCACCATGGGAGCAAACACCACTCACTCCAGCATGGCTTTGTCTGTGGCCAAGGTGAACCACGTAGGGGTTGGAATGTCGCCATAAAATCCCCGTTGGCCAGAGCAGTCCGCGTCCTGGAAGTGGGCCGATGTGTGTAAGTGACTTGACGTAACGCAGACCCAACTATCAAAGCCGTCAAGTGGGAACTTTACACCTTCGGATATATCTCCGCTGATACGAAGGCAGTGTCAATCGCAGGAATGAATCAAACCTCTCCAAGGAATAGGGACAGGCATGGGGACGAGAATTGCCTTCCATAAGCATGGGAACAAGCGTGCGGCTCCGCGAAATATATGTATGCCTTCGCCTCAGTATCCATTCTGGGGAGCGCGTGGTAGCCATAAGCCACTTCACAAGCTCTTGACTCGGCTCCGGATTCCTGATTGGTTCAGGCCCTGTCTCGACTTGCTTTCCATGATCGCGAGAATGCCACGGTCCTTAACGGGCTTGGTATATATATTACGACGCTCTTGAATCGAGACAAAATCGGACGACTTCTCCAAGAAATTGTGCCATACTTTAATGAAAGCACGCTTGGTGCATGACCTGTGGTGGCGTAAGCAAAGTTTGCTGTGGTTTGTCTTCGTATTCTTGTACATGGTTTGACGGAACTCTGGTCCACTGAACTTGGTAAGCTAGTCAAGCATGTACCAAACACTAGTCTCCAGACATCTTGAGCTGATAAATCATACCCAGCAGTCTCTGAACAGCTATGTCGCTTATTATATTTGCGTTGACTGCGTGCTTACTCGCTAAATCTCAGACCGTTGTCGCCGCAGTGTGCTATGGGCTGGGTTACAGGGGGTCCGGATGGGTACGGATCCGGAACCGAAATTAGTTCCGCCTGAACTAGGACGATGATCATCGGAGGGTGATCTTTCAGGATGCAATGATGATTATCAATATTGTGATTTTAACGTTGGAGTGTTAGGGCGAAAATAAGGCAATGTAAGCGCTGCCCTTCGTATTCCAAATCCACGATTTCGGGTAGCGTTGTGCACGTGGACCCTACATTCGCTGTAAAAGTGGATAATATTCACTATAGAAATCGGGTTCACAACTTGTAGAGTGGAGAATAAGAGCTACCTTACTGCCTATAAAGCTTACAGCGCGCTGTAAGGCTAAGCTGTGTGCGAGGGGACTGCCCCACTGTTTACTGTCTATAAGCTTTAGGCGCAAACGCAATCGACCACCCTGTTCAATATAGTGCTGTAAATGTATATCGAATACCAAGGGCACACTCTAGTCATGGTTAGCCTCATTTCCAGAGCGTTTAAATATATCAACGCGCGTACAAGAACTAACTGCCGAAGACGATTGGTACCCGGGAATCAACGTCCGAAAATCTCTTGACAGTACGATTGATCCTATTCTCAGAAAGCGTTTACTATATCTGATGCAAAAGTACAGGAATCTTTCGGAATCCTCGGATTGTTCGCAGCAACGTGTTCAGTTTCTCATCTATAACATCACCAAACTGATCAATAACGTACACGCATCATCAGCATCAGAAGACCCTTTCTTCTTCGGCCCTTTGGATACCACATCAAAGAATCGAAAAGACATTTAAACGCTATTGAATTCACCTGCTTCCCTAAGCGTCTCCAGAATAAAGCGCCACTCGTTTCACGAGCCTCATCACAATTCCAATCGACTGGCTCGGGGTTTTTACGAATACGATCACACCCAAGCCTCTTTACACCGATCAAACCCCCGCAAATACAAGGATCTCGCTGCAACAGCGTTCACTTCACCCAATCAAACGACGAAAAAGCCAAACTGTGTTCAATAGATCAACTCGGGACTGCCCCCACTTGGCACTTTGTGCATCCTGCGAGCAACTCCATGTCCCACTCACTTCGTATATCGCATCTGTGTCTTCGACAAGCAAAGCCCCACATGTACTAAGTACTTCAGAAGCGTAATACACCTTTACTACATTCTGCTTTCTAACATATCTCGTTTCGAATCCGAATCTCTCATAACAACCTCTCCAATAGCCTTCGTCCCACCCACTCTTCCCACTTTCTTTGGAACAATACAGATTTCTTTCGAAAGCAATCCATGATTCGAATGCTCGTCTTCAGAACACTGTCATCGCAAAATCCATTCGGTTCGCGTAAATGTCATACTTGCTGCTATCCAGAATAGATTCGAGTTCTTGCCACCATGCTGCGGTAAAAAGAAAGCGTGAGAAACGAATAGAAAAAAAAAGACTTTTGTTTCACAAGGATTTTCCGAAGTCAGATTTCCCATCTCCTTTCGCGTAACGTGGTTTTGTGGCCTCATTTGTCTCACTTAGGACTCACTTCGTTGGGAAGAGGGGCTTGTGTTTAGCTCGGCAAGCCTTTTTGACTTCATCATATTTCTTAATGAGGACGCTGGTGATTCTTGTGGAAGTCTTGTATCAGAACTTTGTATCAGCGCTATGACAGGGGTAGTGATTCGTTGTATGTTGAAGGTGAAGGTCGTGTGTTGAGCTTCGTAAGGTGGCTGCTCCCAGCCACCGAATATTTCAACTGTATACTCCCACTCCTGTGACGTGAACAGTTAGTCAATACATTCATTATCCAACATGATTGAAAACAGCTAAGCAGTAGTGGTTCGGTAGATAGAGTAAGAGGATATACTTGAGATTGTTTCAAGGCGGTAATGTTGTCTCTTTCGCTTTTGCACGATACATGGAAATTGAAGCACAAGCATAAACATTTGTCGATTGTATCAGATATTGTTTCGGTAAAAGCAAATTCAAAAATACGAATCAACTTCGAATCTACTGATTAAAGATTGATAAAAAGAAGGTGTTAAACTAAATTCATGTTTGGCCCTTGCATACAATCCGATCCTGGCCCATGTGTCCTTCCCACTGTAACATCGATGAGACAGCAGATACCCCGTTCCGTGGCACTTGGGTGCTCCATTTCCCATTCCCGACAATTTCCAAATTCCGATAACGTACATTCTGTGTCGTCGCTGCAGCCGCATGATACTTGCCTGGCGCTCCTAGCGCTGGAGGACGCTCGACTGATGCGCTGCTTGCTAGTAGTCAGTACATGGGTTATGGCTTATCAGTTGCTGTGTCCAGACATATCTTACCATTCGTAAGAATCAATGTTCGGTATATTTTGTGTAGTTGATTTTGTCCAAACTAGTGCGACATACCCACTGTCTCGTCAGTTCAGGCTCCGCGCAACGTTGAATGTGATGCCATACCGATGTTTCTTTTTTGCTTATCTTCGGGTAGCGCCCGGACTTTTGTCTCGCTCGCGAAACATTCTCAGGTCTTTGTACCTCCGTTTACCTCAACGATAGTCGCTGTATCTGGGCGAGCTGCAAGCTTCCCTTTCTTCGCAGCATTGGAGTCGACTTCTCGTTTGGCTTGTGCTTGGTGGGCTTCACCCGCTGGCCATATCATAGTCCAGAGCTCGGCAGCCAGGTTCATTGTGTAGTCGTATGTGCCCTCGACCAGCGGCCAGATTGGTTGATAATGTTGGTGATCCATGATAGGTGAGAATAGGACAGCTGGGTGTGGATATCGCGTCCTGTTTTTCGAGGCTTGGGTGAAGTCAATGCTCTAGATAAAGAGTGCTTTTGGTGATAGCGGTGTAGTCTCGTGAGATAAGGTGACTGATAAGGGTCAAGATATGGCATCATGGTGATTGGAGCGACAAAGTGGGGCGGTGAGGGCTCGCGATACACAATGACCAAACTGAAATTCACTTGATAGTAGAACTTAATTTGTCGTACTATCTGTATGATCGGCGGAATAAATGCGCCTCTATATGGCTTTCAAAGGCTGCTCGTGCCTTCTTGAAGGGAGTGATATCACGTGAGCAACCATCTCTGTCCAGCCACCAGCAGGTGGCAGATTGGATGTTAGACACGAGCACAACCATGTTGAGTGCGCATGTTGCGACAATCTAGTTACTGAAAATTTCACTAGAGGAGGCATACATCTACAGAAAATTCAATCGTCCCAAATGTGCATATCAGCAAACATGCATTTAGCCTGTATCTGCTTTCTGGAAAGTTCTAGAAGAATCTCCAACACCATGGTAGTGAATTACCGCATACTGGAGAGTACGAAGTTACGAAGACACCTTTAGTAACTCGTTCTATATGAAGATCAAGTGGCTCTGGTGCGATTAGTGTTGGCGAAAGAGATGCTAGTTTTGACGGATAGTTGTGAATCATCAAAGCTGCATTCAAGAATGAATGTAAAGGCATCCATAGATGGTAGATGAATTTCACATCTCTTGCTCATTAAATCAAATCAACGTTGCTGCAGCTTGGAGGAATAGTCCTGACTACTGCCCACGATAGCTCGACTACAGATGCGACTCTTATCTGTACATCGGCTGTGAGTCCCACTAGACCGCTTCGCGCATAGTGAGGAGAAATCTAATGTGCAAGAGCGATGTAACTGAGCCAACTCAAAGTTCGGAATCAGCAGGCAGTACTTACGACTGAGTTCATGGGTTGCTTGCCAGTCCCTTTCAGTGATACAATATTAGCTTTGCGAGTCAATTCATAACAGATACAAGTGAGTCATAGTGACATACAAGTTGCCTTGTTTCAATGTAAACTTTCATATTTTTGGCAAGTTACCTGACGGATGTCCTGTCTTTGGTATTTACTGTGGCACAGAACGAGGAATGTTTATCTAATACGTAATGTTTTGATTTTTCAGCAAGAAATCTCGACACATCGATTGTGATTCATAACTTGTTCAATGAGACAATACTTGCATACAGCTTTCCCCCAGGATCCAAGTATGCATATCTCCCTGTCGTCGCCGATTACGTCGATTAGGGCAGATTAAGGTTTCCCCAATGGCTGATATCGGAAGCAGGTCATGTCATTCTATTTGACCGCCGAGGAGCGAGCAAGAAAGGTAAACCGATAGCTGGCCTTCGACCAAAAATACCGACGAGTGTTTAGGTTTAGGCAAATTGGCATGCGTGTTGCGGTTGATAACTAGTCTGGTAGGAGTTGGAGTTCCGTCAAGCTCATTGGAACTTCTATTTCTCGCCGCTCCTGGAAAGCCTGGTCTGAAAAGTAAGAATATAAGTAGGCTTCTTTTACCTCTACGAGCAAGGAGTACTAAGATATCACAATACTGATTCAAAAGACGTTGGATCCGCGTGTCAGTGTTGTTTGAGGTACTCCGAAGTCAGTTCAACGTGCCAGGTTGTTTAACACAATCACCATTTGAATACAACAAGGACAAATCGCATGCCACGCCACGACAAGCTTGAGCATGTGATCTGCTTGCGCTATGCTGCGCTGACGAGATAACGTTCAAGCAGAATGCGCAAGTACGGACGAATAAATTAGGAAGCTTATCTGAGCAGCCCGCATTTGAGGTGACGGAATTTACCAGCGATGAATCCGGCATTTTCAAAGATCTCATCGGGCTGACCCGTATGTTCCAGAGGATAGACATGCTGTCAGAAGATTCGCTGAAACTGGCTAGGCCAGTGTGGTTGCTGAGTAAGACGGACAGCCCATTTCCAGCCCTATCAGAGTAATTTTCTACTCTATACTTACTACTTATGTATATCCGCCAGTAGGAACTCACTCGCATTTCCGGAGAAAAGGATAGCATCAAGGTTGAAAAGGCTGTTTTTGGACATGGGGAGAAGATGTCACGATAACCAAGATGTACGATGAATAAACAATGGTTGCTGGCGGTTGAGGAGTGCGGAATTGCCGTCATGTTGAGTCGCAAATGATGTGCCGATGCCATGATCGCAAGAGAGCCTTGGTACGGCATGGATGGGGGCATTAGCCGGCAAGCCTGGTTACATAAGATCGAGCGTTGAGCCCCACCACGGACCCTGTCGTCGTTCCGCGAACCGTAGACTGACGTGGAGTCTGTACCCTGTACATAATCGAGAAGGGTCTGAGAAGTCAATGATGGCCAATGTCGTTATCTGGACGCGTAAAGAGATGATTTGAGTGTTTATGTTCAGCTTGATGATGAATGATCAACGCGTTCGGGTACACGCCAAGACACTAGCCTTGGTTCGCTCTAGGGGAACCGTGGAGACGGCCTCGTCCAATTTCTGCCACCCTGACACTCTTACCCTCCGAGCTCCTCGTACCAACAACCTTCCCGTCGCGTTCCGCATTTCCTAGTGTTCTAAACCAGCACGCGGCAACTGGGGCTCGTATGCCGGGTGCAGATGCAACTCTGACTTGACCTATATGGATTGAGCCCACATCGCCCTAGGCCCTAGACCAACCACACCCGTCATACAGTTGAAGAGATGCCATGTTCAAACCGTACAGGACTTCGCTTTGGGCATGGATTGACCTGGTGCGATCATGCCGGACGCGTCTGACGTTCACCCTTGACTGCAAATCGGCAGTTAACTGTCTGGGCGCGTAAGCCGTAAGCCGTAAGCCGAAAGTCGTATTAGGCCAAGTACATTAGGGCCTTTTAAATGCGCATCAACCAACCCCTATGAACTTGACGGTAGTACCAGCCCGATTTTAGCGGAAAACGCCGTGCTGATCTTTTACTGGCATATGCACCTGGCAGCTATGTGACTGCAGCATCTACAACTCTGCGTTGTCTTCGCCATTTGACCAGTAGGCATCATAGGGCTAAAAATCATCAATTGATTAGAATGCCATATTGCTCGGACATCTTGGCTGTCGGCATGCATCAAAAACCCACAGCCACAATGGATCAGACTGCAGTTCCGTCTCAATGCAAGACCATCCATTGTTCACCTGGTGGATCTGGTACACCTTCGACCTGATTCTCTAAGCGCCGGGTTACTTACATATTATGGGGCGCATAGTAAATACATGTTCCGGCGAGGCTTACATCGGCTTTGATTGCCGTTGTTCATAATTGTGGCGTTACATTGAGATTGCCACAGGACATTCCATTGTTCTCACCATATGCTACTGCAGACGTGAAAGCGGTGAACCATAAACAAAGCACCTGGTCTCAGTGGCCTCATGTCCCCTTGACGTGTTCTTGAATACATGAAACGATTGCCACCTACTGTAAAGCTAGTTGTACATACGCGCGTATGAACTTACTTACGGCTATGTACGCAGTACATAGCACAGTATAGGACTTTCTACGCGTTGTCTCAAGTGGCTACTCCGGAAAATCCTGCTGTAACCGGTCCGTCGATCTAGCCGTGTTGAAGGGGAAACGTTACGGCGAATCCAATCAGCTAAAGTTCTAATGCAAATCTACTTGGGGATGTCATCACCGATCTCCCTTCAACAAAGGAGCATGGTCTTGGAAGGATCCTCGACGGTATTCGAATGCTCCATAGTTCCATCAATACTATGCATTCCAATGGCCAGACATCATCAGAGCAGCGATAAAGAACGTTGCATGCACATGTGCGCCAATTGTTGTGGCCCAAATGTTTTTCTTACCAACGGTCCGGTATGTAAAACTATATATCCGTACTTACTTACGTGATGTCTCTCGGGGATGTTTCTGCCTCAAATTGAGCCATTGGTATGGCTTAGAAGTGAACATGTACTACGTACGTACGCTTTGCAGAGATGATCTGCAGCCCCCGGCAGATTGCGCATCATACATGTCTGCGACAACATCCTCACTCAGCGCATTCCCAAATCGCAATAGCATTCCTTTCCTTCCTAGCCTTGTTCGTTCAGAGAGCGTCGGCCCGTTTCCTTACACATGGCTCAAGTGGGATGCTGCTATTCCTGCTTTCCTTCACTCGTACAAGTAAGCGCAGGGCTGTAAAGAACGACTTTACGAACGAAAAATCAAGCATTCATGGTCTGGATCAGCGATCATCGAGTCGCAGGGTAGTGGCAGAAATGAACAAACTAAACAAATTGGAATCTGGCTTTGGCTCAGCAAATAAGGTTTATGACCCTGACGCTAGCGGGGCAAGTGTGGTAGGGGTGCAAGGTTTCCGCAACCAGCATCCCGCCATCCACTCCGCTATGACCTTGAAGGCGCCGAACGGGCAATACCAAGGTCGATTTCGGCGTTTTGGAGGATCGAGGGGCCCTCGAGGCCTTGTTTCTACCACTGCGCACCCCCCGCTCATTCCCCTGCATTGCGGTGGAATTACATGTAATATTGGTCATTCGATTCAAGAGGCTTCCACGCGACAAACTTCGCTATGGCATATGAGCTAGTGCGACGCTTGGGTAACACCTCAGCTCACTAGGGTCTGAGGGACAGCTCAGACTACTTGAACTACCCTACGCCTCCTCTTCTTGCCGTGGCAAGATGTTCTCCCGGCCCCACACCTTCAACAAAATGGAAGAAAGAACTGCATCGAGCGGCCGCTCTCAGGAGTACGAGAAACACGATGGCAATACGCTTGAGATGGTGACCTCACAGACGCCTGTTCATGAACAAGACAAACCTCAACTGTCGCAGGTCGGCAGCGGTGAAAATGGTGTAGTCGTCCACGAAAAGGTCAGTCTGACAAATGCAGTCATGCAGACATGAGGTGTTGACAAAGGTTTGCAGATGAACTTCAAGCTCTTCATCACTTTGGTGTGCATGGTTTTCCTCTGGATTGGGTCTCAGGTTCCCCTCTTGATCTTTGGCTCCATCATCTCGTTCATCACCAGAGATATCGGAGGAACAGATCGATACTCATGGTTCATGATCGCCTATCTCATTCCGCTTGCCGCCCTTTTGCCTTTTGTCGGTGCGCTGTCCGACCTCTTTGGAAGGCAAAGGGTTGCTATTGCGGGACAATTGGCATTGGTTATCGGTGCCATTGTTACATCGACTGCCTCGACCATGAACATCGCCATTGGTGAGTGGCGCATTCACATGGTCCAACAGCTTTCGCTAACAAACTTCAGGTGGCCAGGTCTTCTCAGGCATTGGTGCGGGTCTCAACGAGATGATCTCACTCTCTGGCACAGCTGAAGTCGTTCCTGTCAAGGATCGCGCCAAGTATATTGGCTTTGTCGTTATCACCATTATTCCCTTCTGTCCGTCCGTCTTGTGGTCTCAAGCCATTGCCGAGCATGGTGCTGGCTGGCGCTACAACGGCGTCTTTGTTGGCGTGTGGAACTTCATCGGGCTGCTACTGTGCATCTTCTTTTACAGGAGTCCGTCTCGCCTTACAGAGAATTACACTGCTCGCGATGTCATTGCAAAACTCGATCTCGTCGGTGGTTTCCTGAGTACCAGCGGTATCACCCTCTTCATGATGGGACTTCAGTGGGGAACAGTGCAGGTTCGTTCAACCAAGTTTTTGTCACATGAGATGATTCCAACGCCTTTGTAGTATAACTGGGGCAGCGTCCACAACCTCGTGCCTTTTATTCTCGGAATCGTTCTCATAGCCGCCTTCGTCGTATGGGAGCTCCGCGCCGAGCATCCCATGGTTCCACGAGGAATGTTCGCCAAAGCCAAAAGAACCATGATTGTCATCCTGATCCTCATCTTCATCAGCGGTGGCACCTTCTTCGCCTTGATCCTCATCTACCCATCCCAAGTGCTCAACGTCTATGGTAAGCAAACGACACCCACAGCCCGCAGCTGTATCCGCCGCTAACACAACCCACAGGCGATAACCCAACAGAAAACGGCCTCCGCAGCCTCCCCATCGGCTTCGGTATCATGGGCGGCGCTTTCTTAGGCTTACTCCTGATCCCCCTTACCGGCGGCCGCTTCCGCGAAGTTATGATTCTCGTCACCTCCGTCGCAACCGCCGGCACAGCCCTCCTCTCCATCAGCACCCCGCACAATGTCGGCGCAATCGTAGCCATCGCCTCCGTTGCCTGTACCGCCATTGGCGCCGTCATTATCCCCTCGACCGTCATTGCCCAAATCGCCGCTCCAGACGAGTACATCGCCACCGTCACCGCCCTCACCCTCAGCATCCGCTACATCGGCGGCGCAGTCGGCTACTCCGTCTACATCAACCTCATGACCCGCCAAGCAACAAAGTACTTGGGCCTCATGGCACAGAACACAATCGCCCTCCAGGCCATTGTCAACCCGCTCATCCCCGCTGGCCGCGAGGCCATCAAGAACATCGTCGTCAACATCGCCAACGGCCAATTCGATGAGGTGAAGCGGATCTTGGCTACAGACCCTACCGTCCTCCAGCGAGACGCTTACCCAATCATCATTGCCGCCTCGCGCGAGGCCTGGGCCCAGTCGTACAAGCTGCCATATTACGTCTCGATTGCGTTTGGCGGCATCACCGTCATTCTGAGCTTCTTCATCGGCGATGTTAGACAGTACATGACGTCCAAGATTGCGGTCCATGTGTAAAGAAGAAGAAAGATGGTCTGGAAAAAAAAGTAGTGGTTTCCAACCATTCTTTTCGTTTTCTTCTACTACTACCAGGCTGGAGCGAAGTTTTTGATGTATGTTTGCTTGTTTGTTCGATGGATTGATGGATAAGCAGTCTTTTTTTTGAGCGACCAGCAGGTTTACGACAACTTAATAAATTTTAGATAGTTTTTAGGAGGGAGGGAGGCAATTAGAATCCATGTAAAGGAAAATTTGCTTTACCAAGACCACTAACGCTACGTTTCTCTCCTTGTTCTTCTTCTTCTTCTTCTTCCTTTTTTTTTTCTTGTGATCTGTTTCTCGAGAATTTCATCCAAATCACTCATTCAGAGATTTTGTAGTTAACACTTTTTATTTTTATTTATTTATTTTTGGAGCGCGAGAAAAGCTCCGTCATTAAGTAAATTTTTACAAAAACTCCAAATGTTTAAATCTAGGACGACTTTTTCTCTTAACAACATAAAACTGTATGTATGGTAATCTTTGAAATTTCCGGTCAACACGTGTAAAATGTCTCTCGATAGCTTTGTATAGTCATGTGTATGTGTTTTTGTACAGTAGAAATTGCTTATTAAAATACATACTACATATGTAAAAAAAAATCGAAAACAGAAAACAGAAAAAAAAAACCGGGAACATGAAATCTATAAAGATAGAACACTTACTCAGAAAAAAAGGGGGGTATAAAACGCCATTTGTAAGAAAGATGCCCAGAGTCGTTATGAAGATTATGCAGTTTTTTTTCAGTGCATCTTTGGTGCTCGGGTGTCGCGAGGGGTGGCGGCACCTATGGAGCCTCTGATGACAGTTCCAGCAGTTAGCATGCTGATGTAAAGGAAGCTTGTGGTGAGAACGCTGCTGACGTAGGCAGCGGGAAGTGTTTGTTGTTGTTGTTGTTGTTGTTGCTGTTTTGTTTGCTCGGGGTAGGTTGAAGGTGTGACAGTGAGATGTGAGACGGAGCAGTCCTTGCTTAGCTCCTTCCATACTGCGGCCTCGACGGCAGAAGTGCTACCGCTGTCTACTTTCATGCTGAAAGACGGCGTTGTTTTAGTGGGCTCATCGTGATTGAGAGTCTTCAATATGATGTCGTTGCGATTGCCGATTTTGGTCTCGTAGTGCTTCCTCTCCACCATCTCTGGCGTCTCCTCTTCTTCGTCGCAACTGTCGTCACTCGATGCACCGTACTCCTCAACAGTCGCCAGCGTATCAAGCGCATCCATAGAATCCACGCGTACCGCTCTTTTAGGACGAACCGGAGCCTCGATGTGTTGCGCCTGCCAGCCGCACCCATCAATACATGTGCCTATAACAGGTGATATTGGTGGAGATGAAGACATGTATCCTTCATCGCGGCCCCCGGTTTCGTATTCAGGTTCAGCGCAAAAAACAACGTCATTGAAGTCGAGCTCCTCGTTGTGGGTGGAGGCTCTGGGTTCTAGGGGCCGAACAATGGAGAACATGTTCTCGTCGTCATCGAACTCGGTTTCAAGCGGCTCGAATGTTTCTTCTTCGTCTTCGTCGCTCTTCTCCCATGTATCAATGGAACTTGAGTCCTCTTCTTCCTCTTCCTCTTCAGGCTCTTCGGCACCATCCCTTTCTTGTTGTGCTTTCCACATCCCGATCAACTCCTTTAGCTCGTCTCTCGAAAAGTGTTCTTGAGCTGGTGTTCTCCGCGGCGCAACTTGCTCGTTTGCATTCTCCTGCTCCTCTTCTCCATAGACAATGTTGAAATCCGGCTGCGGCTCCTGTAGCTCTGGTGGCTCATACAAGTCCATGTTTTTGACTTCTGTTGCTTTCTCCCTAGAGACGTTTTCGTACCTTCTTCTGTTGCCGATCAAATGCGCTTCCTCAATCCCTGTCACAAATACCAATGGCGAATGGCGATATACCTGTGCTCTTTGCCTTCCAGTCAATTGGCTTACGTTTTGGAATGCTTTTGCATATCGGTACCGTTGATCATTGTAGGGGCTCAGTTCAGGGTATGCCGGCACATCAGCCTCGTCCTTGCCGTCATAGTATATACCAATAGCGTGAGTGAGGTACTCATGACGTGCAGAAGCAATCTCTTCTTCCGTAGTAGTATTGATGATGTTGCTGCATACGGCTTCCGATGACGCTTCAACAGCTTCCAGCTCAGGTGTGTGTCCGTCCCCTAGGTCAATTTCCAGTGACTGGTCAAGAGCCATGTTGGTGACATGCGAGGCCAAAGGCTCCATATATGCGTCTCCGTCGGTGTCGTGTTCTGGTACATATGATGAAGTAGCTTCTATGCTCTCTCCACAACGCGACAGTTGAAGTGGGCCAAGTTCGTCAACACTTGGTGAAGAAGTATCAACAGTGGCTTTCCAAGTATCCAGATCAAAGTCATCGTCGTCGTCATCATCCCAATTGAACTTCCGGTCGTTACCGGTAGCGATCTCATGTTCAGCCATGTTGCTATATTTGAATATAAGAATTTTTTCGGTTGTGTGGGCGTGTTAGTGAAGGTTGCATGAGTTGAAAGCGAAGGCAGTCGGACAAAGCCGTCAACAAGAGAGCAAAACAAAGGCTCTTGCGCCGAGATATGAATGAAACCGGCCTCCCAAGCCAACGTTCACCAGCCTTATCACGAGCGCACGTGTGCAACAGTGAAATGGAAACCCACGGTTAATGGTCTTGGCGCCCAAGCTATTGGGCTTCAACCAAGTATGGTACGTGCGCAATAGGTCTCCTACAGGGGAGATGAAACTGGCTGGGTTCTGGGCGCACACGCAAACAGTTTGTGCAGAGACGTGTCGCGTCAGTCGTTCACACCTTTGTCGCGGATAAAAACATTGTGTTCTGGCGCAGAGGCAAACAGTTTTACGCTGACGAGAGCAAACAGCAATTCACTCGCAAACAGACTCAGCCACTGGCTTGTCTCACCAGCCCGTTCACATACCATGATGAAGGATGATGTAAGATTAACATTTGATCAAGTTCCCGTGAGTGCCGGTTGGTGTGGGAAAGGACGCGGGTGCACCCAGGCTTCGGAAGTCCGACAAACAGCACAACCCGAATAAAGACGACTAAAAATACTCCCGCAAATCACAGCTGTGACATGCGACAAAAATGTCCGTTCGTCAACTACGTCCAACGAATCAAGTCAATGGGATATGTCTGGCAGCGAATACCATGCGTTGGATCGTGAGGTCCGAGCACGACGCCAAATGATTGTCGCCGCCCGCGCATCTACCCCGTAGATCGACGAGGCTGCCCGCGCGTTCGGTAGTGTTTCCAACAGAGAACCTTGGTTCAGGATTCCCCAGAAGCGTCCAGATAGGGCCATGGACCATGGATAGTGGATACTGATCGGTTGGGGTGATTGATTCAAGCTACAGATCGCATCGGGGAACGCTTCGGGGTTTGTACTTAACAGGTAATGTGTCGCATGTTATTTTTGTAGGACAGTTTTGAGGTACGCGCTATGGTACATCTCAATTGTCTAGCGCTGCCATGACATATCAGGGTCTAATAAATCATGACTGTTCGGTAATCTGGTTCGATCGCCCTGTTACGTCGTGGTTCCCCAGGACACCTGAAGCGTTCGGGCTAGGTTCAAGGAATCGCGACCAGCCTCACTTTGCAGTAGTGCTGCTGGCTGCTGTCTGACATCATTCTGCAGGATTTCCCTACTTGATGAAGAAACTCAGCTTACATCTTTTTGTCTTTGCATACTCTAATGTCGTCATCATCGGCACTGTTGAGTTCAAAATTTCATCGTGTGCTGATCATACGTGATGGTGGTTGCAGTGCTGGCGGTGAAACGAAGCTGTAGCAAGCGAAAACAAGACTCTTTGACTACGACGAAAGTTGTTGCAACCAAGTTGGCAAGTAATTAACCTGCAGCAGATGGCACATTTGCTGCATATACACTCTTCATAACAATGTTCTATTTCGTGACACAGCATCCATGTCTGTATGCAGATGATCGATCTCTATGTGCAGACTGTTGTCGATCGAGATTACTGGCCAGCAGTTTTCCGGTGCATAACTGTAGCCGCCGCCTATATTCCGTTAGTGAAACAGTCGCTTGTTTTACAATTCTTCAATCCGACTCACTTGGTGGTTTGGAAATATCAAGCTATCAGCAAGTACCACGTTCTCCCTCCTACCGGCAGCAAAGACAACAACCTCGGCAATGTCATCAGGTGTTAGAGGCTCAACTCCTTCATATACCTTCTTTGCCTTTTCCTTATCTCCGCCAAACCTTACAACACTGAATTCAGTTTCTACCTGGCCTGGATCAATCTCTATGACTCTTATCCTTGTTGCGATCAGTTCCTTGCGTAGGGCGTCTGTGAAGCTTCGGACTGCAGCCTTGGTTGCACAGTAGATGGATCCACCCTGATAGGGCTCACGGCCCGCAATAGAACCAATGTTTATAATGTCGCCTGAAGGCGTGGAGCGTGCCTTGAAGATGGGAAGGATGGCTTGCGTCATGTTGATCAGGCCGGTTACATTTGTACTGAACATGACGTCGATGTCGACTGGGGAGATGTCGGGGGCTTGGGCAACGCCTTTGACAAGTCCACTTCAATCATGTTAGCTGCAGAGAAAGACCATGATAAGCATGGGGCAACTCACGCGTTGTTAACCAGTACATCAATGTCCTTAAACTCTTGAGGAAGGTTACCAACAAAGTTTTGAACCTCGTCAGGCTTGCTGACATCCATCTTGACTGGCAGGACTTTGACGCCTTTTGCAAATCCGCCAATCTCTTGCGCAAGCTCTTTCAGTGAGTCCTCCCTTCGTGCAGTCAAGATGAGCTTCAAGTCATCTGGCTGTGTCCGGGCGAATTCGAGGGCTGTTGATTTGCCAATGCCAGAAGACGCACCGGTGATAACAATGGTCTTGCCCTTAAGGCGCTCGGCCATCTTAGTCGACATTTTGGCAGCGTGGTGTTGAAGACAGCTCTGTAATTGTGTACTGCAAGGGAGGATGCGGGGTCGTAATGGGGCTTTGGCAAAGGCAGTTGCGGTGCGGAAGAAGAGCTTGGATGACGGCAGAACAGGCATGTAAGTCACAATGCTTTGTAATACAGCAATTGATGGGTGAAAGAGTGTGGAGTCTACGATTGGGGGTTGACAACGCGGCGCAAGCCATCATGGCCATGGATATCGGCGGCAGTTCCGAGGCTGCGCGAGTCAGGAACAGTGCATGGAGGGGTATTCGAGCACGGCAATGTGGGGAGCTTTGCATGAATCACACCGAGATAGCTTGAGCCGCATCACATCGTAACTTCACACATAGGCAAATGGTCTGGTGGTGAACATATCTTCATTCGTGCCTCAGCCATATTCCAGGCTTTCGTGGAGACGTTTTATCGTCAATCCGAGTCATTATGCGTATATCCCTCCAACTCCATGCGCGCGCGTGAAAAAGTGCGGGTATCGAAATCGTCTTTTACAGCGACAAACTTAGGCAGCGCCCTTCTTCTTGAGCATGGCCTCGTCCTCTTCCCTCAGCTCCTGGTCGATCTTGGCTCCCTTCGAGGGCTCGTTGCCGTGCGCGCGTGCGGGCAGGGTAGCATCCTTCTCCCTCTGCATATCCTCGAGGGCCTTCTCTTCGCCTTCCTTCTCACGCTTCTCCTCACGCTCGAGCTTGTTGGCGATTGATCGCTCGTCCTCTGCCAGCCGCTGTTAGCATTTTTTTTGTTGACATAATTGTGGTTGAGTTTGGCGCAAGCCTCGCGCGGCACGACCAAAAGTGCATCAACACATGCAACTGATGAGGGAAGCACATACTTGAATCGAGAGCCTTGTGGGAATTCTCCTTGCCCTCGTGGAACCTGTTCTCCTTCTTCTCCTGCTCGATCTCGGCGTTCGACCTGGTGACCTGGTCACCAGCCTCGTAGACGTTGCTGTTGCCGACGCTTGAGTTTCCAGACATGTTGTATATATATGTGTTGTGAACTTGGAAAAAAAGTTTAAATTGAGAAATTGATTGAGTGAAGAGGAGATAGATGGCAATGGATGTGCAAATGATGATGTCGAGGGTGAGTTCTCCCCTCTCCTTATGAAGTGTTTCTTCTGCCCGCAAAACTAACATAGCGATGACGTAGTGTTGTAGTGATATCATCGGTGGGGACGAACCGCATGTTTGGGTAGCCAAAGCGATGCGAATGATGACATGCAAATGGCCGATGTGGTGCCTGAAATGTAAATTTGCATATAGTATAGCGATCACGGAGCTGGAGCTGTCGTGTGCTTATCCCGAGCTTGCTGCGATTGCGCGCTGGTGAAGGAGCTCGCTTTCGTCATTTTACCCACATCAACCCATCTCTGCAAGCCAGCTAACCACCATGTCTGCCACCAGCTGCGGACCATCGCCATATTTGCATACTACATAACATGCCACATTACATACAATTTTCGGGCAAGCGCAATTTGGAGCATGCCAACTACTACGACCAATACACACGACACTCAGGCAAAGCTCCGCTTCTCCAACCACCTGTCCACGAGTGCCAACGCCTCCTTAGGCTTATCAAATGGAACAAGATGTCCCGCTCTATCTACCGTTGTGAAAGCAAAGGTCGTCTCCCTGCCGCTTGCAGTCTTGGTCTTTACCTCCTTGAACCACCCTACTTCTTCTCCTTCGTTCTTCCACGTTCTCTTCGGCTGTGCAACAAATGCTGGCTGGCCTTTCCATTGCATTGTGTTGGCCCACTGCAGGTTTCCCGCGGTATTACACGCGAGATCAAGGTTACCTTGGTAGAAAAGCACGTCGATACCATGCTCAAGAAGGTACAAAACTTGTGGCTGCGTGCTCTGAACACCATCTCCAGTCACAGCAAAGGCCCATGTAATGTCCAGAGATAGGACGGAGTAGTTGCCCGCAGCTTTAGGTACGTTAAGAGCTTGCCGAACCGATGGAAGATTGAGATACTTTTGTATCCTCGGGATCTCAGGGTAGCACAATTCGTCCTTCGTCTCGCACCCGTCTGTGATGTCGTAGCGATTACGACCACCTTCGCCGGACTCTCCATCATAGTATTGGATGACTCCCTTGTCGCATACTTTTTCAGCGGCGATGCATATGGCTGGATCCGGGTGGTCATAACAGATTTGGGTGAGCTCCATGCAGCGAGGTAAGTTTGATGCCATAATATCGCAGCGTGTCTGGTTGAACACGGGGCTCTCGACGCCAGGATTTGTTGTGCAAAGGGTCTCCCAATAGCCGAAAGTAGTGTCTTTCGGTGAGACATATGCATTCCCGGTGAATGTTGATTTGATGTTGACTTGCGGTCGCTTTGGGTACAAGAGGTTCTGAGACACAATCTGCGCACCGAGTGCCGGAACATAGTGGCCCTGGTGATGGTCAGCTTGTACACGTGATTATGGTGCAAGAAACCCACCGCATAGCTTTCTCCAGTAATATGGAAGTCTCTTCCGGAAAGGCTTGGGAAGACATCGCTGGTGAACAGCTGCAGGAAATGATGCATGTCTTCAGCCGCCGTGAAGCTCGTAGCCGGAAGCGGGACGCCTGGGTCAACATAGCTGAAACCCACGCCAGCCGGCTGGTCGACGAAGATGATGTTGGCATTCTTGCTCCACCCGTATTCGTTGAAGACAGTGCCATTACCATGTTCATTGATCATGCATGGTCCCAACTCACCCATCATTCCAAGCATGCCAGACGCACCTGGGCCTCCACTCAACCATAACAACAGCGGATCTTCTGATGGTTTTCTCTGTGATTCAAAGTACCAGAAGAAGATGTGTTTTGAGCCAACATCTAGCCAACCAGTATATTGCTTACCATGAGCGTTGCAAATCGTGTCGTCTTGCTGCTCTCTGATACGGATGGCATGGTGTTCGGAGAACTGACTTTGGTACAACTGGAAACCTTCAACATCGGGTGTCTCCTGGAATGGCACCTGTGAAAATGAGGTGGCAGGGACAGTTGTGGCAAGCAAACAAGCGATAGAAAGCTTCATGATTGATGTACACCCTCGCGGTACTGCGATGGATGCTCGATTCAGCATAGAATGAAAACAGAGCAATAACTCGTGATAAATCAATATTGCAAGAGATAGAACAACTGCATGAATCTGGAGAATGGCAGATATCCCCAGAGAACAGAGGTGAGACGGTTGGTGTCCGCGTCACCCCAGGCCCCAGTCAACGATCGTCCAAAGTTAGACAGGGGTGTGGGAATTGGTCTTCACCCGCAGCTCGGAACCACCACCGCACGCGACTGTACCCTCAACTCGACTATTTTGCGCGACTTGACCGCGTCAATCAACGCCTTGAATACGATTCGCCTCCGCCGCATTCTGAAACCTCTGCTGGAATCGTGTATCAATCTACAAGTACCCACCCAACAATCCGCAGCACATACAGCCAAAGCAAGGCACCCTTCTCCACAATGCCCTACAACAACACTCCGATTGCGCCCAACAAGGAGATTACTGGCCATGTGTCGCTTCCATGTAAGTAGAACGTTTTTTCAATATTCAAAAGACTTCATTCACTAACTCTCTCACCAGTGGCACGCGTGCAGAAGATCATTCAAGCGGACCCAGAGCGCATCACAACTTCCAAGAACGCTGCCTTTGCCATCGCACTCGCCACGGAAATGTTCATCCAGCACCTCGCAACTACAACCTACAATGTCGTAAAAGCTGAGCGCAAGCCTCGCCGCAACATTCAGTACCGTGATGTCAGCAGCGCCGTCGCAAAGACCGACAATCTCGAGTTCCTGGTCGATGTCGCACCCAAAACAAGCACATGGGGCACGGTAAAGAAGAGGATTGAGGAAAAGGAAAGGGAGGATGCGAAGAGGAAGGAGAAGGAAGGCAAGAAAGATCCTCTAGCAAATGGTCAGACAAAACTGGGTGCGCCCGTAGAGACGGTGGAGGGAGATGCCACAGATAAGATTCAAACACCTGAGAACGGCGCTGCCATGGCTTCGCAGTCGCCAGACAAGCCAGAGGAGACGCCCGATGCCATGGAAGTGGATCAGGTAGTGGATCGTGTTGCGGACAGTGAGCCAGAGGAAGATGCTGCAGCCATGCAAATCGAGATGGAGATGCGTGGTCCACCAAGTCAGCCCCCAGCGACCGAGAACAAACCTGCCAGTCCAGTAATCACGCGGCCGACAGGAGGCTTCACTGCTATTAACGGTAACAAGTAACTTGTGCTGATTCAGGACTGGGGGAGAAGAATTGTTTGCATTGCATTTGGCGTTCAGCAGGATATACCATGCCGAGGGTACTTGACGAGTTGACGGGATTCGATATGGGGATTTGGCTATGCCCGTACGAACATGAAAGATCCGTTCTACCGGATCGCAGTATAAATTAAACTATTCCAGACTGCATCTTTAGCGTGGCCTGGTTATGATGCTAGATTCGAACCGGCTACTTGAGAAAATTGGATAGTATGACTTGAAGCTCCACCAACTTCATCAACCCACTTCTACCCTTTGTGCATCCGAAATTTGATATCCGCTAATACACCACCACGTACCCCCTTTCAGATCCATCCCACTAGCTACCTTCCGTATTCCACACCTCCACACTCCCCACCCACCCCTCCCTCACCACAACCCCCCGCAACACCTCCTCTGTCCCCTCCCACGGTACCCCAAATTTGCCACTATTAATCCTACACATCCTCACACTACGCACTTCGTCCCCCAGCAGCCCCAGCAACCCCAAACACCCCTCAACCGCCCTCCCCGTATTCCTCAGAATCTCCGCTATCCCATCCTTGCCCTTCCCATACCTCCGACTCGTAAACAGACACCCAATCCAATGGCCTTTGTCGCCGTCCACCGGCGGAATCAACAGCGTTGTACCGACTGGCATCGGGTTCCCGGCTTTCAAGGAATGCTCTTTGGTGCAAAAGGCGTGGTAGATGGTGTATGCGTTGGGATACTGCTTTTTGAAGGCTAGGGCGATGCCTGAACCCCAGGAGCCTTGGGTGTTGCAGGCGTGGAGGAGCAAGGTGTGCGGAGGTGCGGTGAAGAGAGAGCCGGTGTGGTGGGTTAGGGAGAGGGTGGTGGAGGTGGTGGAGGGAAGGGTTGGGGGAAGGTCTTTGTAGGAAAGAGGGGTGAGGGAAGTAGTGGTTTTGGTATCTTGTCGTTTTGGGGGGACTGGGGCTGAGGATGCGGATAGTGGTCTTTTGCCTTTTTCTTTGCTGGTGTCTTGGGATGCTGGGGTTTCTGGTACTGGTGGGCTTTCGGGTTCATCTTTAGTAGGTTGTTTGGGGGTCGCTTGACTGCGGTCTCCGGTTTTTGGCTTCAAGTAGGAAGTGATGGAAGCGCTTTTGCTGTTGAACATGGTTGCGAGCTATTCGAAAGTTTTTATGTGACGTTAGAAAAGGTAGTAAGTCAAGTAAGTGTTAAATAAGAAGGTTATACTGATGAGCACCCTGTGAAAAAATGGTGAGAAGGAAGGAACTGTCAGTGACGAGGAAAGAAGTAAAGGAGGGGGCAAAGGCTTAATTCTGTGGATAGAGACCACAAACTAGAAGCCAGGCAGCCGCCAAGGCTCTCACTCACTTCAGATGAGTCAGTAGTCTGTGCATTTAATCTACAACTTCATCCATGGTAGTGAGAGTGAATAAATGATCTTTAAGAAAAGAGACATTTAAGTTCGGGAGTTGGGTGGATTAAATGAGAACACCATGACATGCTTTACCAGAAAGTTACAATGTAGAGTCGATATTTAGTACAAAGAAAATCGCATGTTCAATGTTGTGCATCGAGCAAGCCCAGCCGAGAGCCCAGCTGCTACAATGCCGTGGTGGTGTTCGGGTGATGACGCTTGGATGGTGTTCGTCGGCCACGAGACCTTTTGACCAATCAGAAGACACCTGACATAACGCTCCCTGGCAAACCAGCCAAAACTTCAACATCGTCAACCCAAGCTCCTCTCCATCAACGACCACAACCCCCGCCTACTCGCGTCCACGATGCCCGCTCTCGCCAACACCGCCCGTGCCGTCGCACGCTCATGGACCGCTCACCAATTGCCCGTTGCTCGGGCGGCCGGTTGCACCGCCATGCAGACCCGCAACGCCTCGGCTTCCTCGTTCGATAGCCCCTTCAAGGGCACCCCGGAGACGACCAAGATCCCCTCGTTTGCTGCGTACAGGAATAAGGGTGGCGAGACCGGACCCAAGGTGTTCCAGTACTTCATGGTTGGAACCATGGGTGCGCTGAGTGCGCTTGGCGCGAAGGCGACCGTACAGGGTATGTCACCAGCACCGCGACAATCCAATGGAGGGATGGAAATTGCTCGGTGGAATTTACATGGCATATTCGGAGTTGTAGGAGAGCAATTGGCCATTTTTCGGATGATATGCATCCGTGAATTGATGGAGAACCGAACGGCTAACCCGATCGTTCAACAGACTTCCTCGTCAACATGTCTGCCTCCGCCGATGTTTTGGCCCAAGCTAAGGTTGAAATCGACCTCGCTGCCATTCCTGAGGGCAAGAATGTACGTTTTGCGACATCAAATGGACTGCCCGAAGATCGGAAGCTGATGAGAGCAGGTCATTATCAAGTGGCGAGGCAAGCCCGTTTTTATCCGACACCGCACTGAGGACGAGATTAAGGAGGCTGAAGATACCAAGTGGGAGTCGCTCCGTGACCCCCAGCCCGACTCTGCCCGTGTCCAGAAGCCTGAATGGTTGATCATGTTGGGTACGTTACACCGCGAACTGCACAGATGGAGATTGGAGTTAACAACAACAGGTGTCTGCACCCATCTTGGATGTGTTCCCATTGGTGAGGCTGGTGACTTCGGAGGCTGGTTCTGCCCTTGCCACGGATCCCACTACGACATCTCTGGCCGCATAAGAAAGGGACCTGCCCCACTCAACCTCGAGGTCCCCTCGTACGACTTCCCCGAGGAGGGCAAGGTTGTCATTGGTTAAGTGGAGTAACTTTTTGAAGGGGAGGCGCACGGATGTCGAGACTTGTGTGTGTATAGGAGCGAGCATCAACAATTTCCTACCGTTTGATTCACATAGATTCGGCTTGTGTCCTTGCAATGTAACACTAGTTAGAGTCACCCTTTGTTTGTCTTGGTTGCAGGTGTTGCAGCGATTCTATTACTGGTACATGTTACGATAATCACGGCATCTTTCGCTCTGCGGCTCTCATTGGATGCACAGTGCATGAACATCCAAGATATCATTGTCCGTTTAGGTAGGTCTTGACAGCCTCCACAGCGCCCTTGAACTTATCCGCCTCAATTAGCACCATGTGTCCCTTGGGCTTGACTCCCAATTCCTGAAACGCCCTCTTGCTGTCGCTCGCACCCTCGTCTACTGGGGTATCATAATCAAAGTCCGTGAAGCCCACCGCATGCTTGTGTAGCACTTCGTCCTCAGGATGGAAGTAAAACGTCTCTTGGCCAACGTCGGCCTTCTTGTTCTTCTTCTTGCTCGGCGGCGCATCTCCGCTCGGTAGTTGCGATTGGATTTCGGAATAGCATTTTGAGAGCACGAGATAGTGGGTAAATGTGTAGGGCTCCTTTTCCTCGACCGCCCATTGAATCTCTTCAAGCAACATGGTGTACATTGGGGGCACGACCTCGTGTGGCATGTTGATAAAGCGCTCGGTCAAAATAAGGCCAACTTGTGCCGTAGAAGATTCGGCGAGTAATGGCGCGAGAGTGGGGATTGAGGAAGCTTTTTTCGACAGGTAGGATGTCAGGTCGCTAATTACTTTCTTGTCCTGCAGGTGCCTGTTAGATATGTCGATTTTCTCAAATTGACAAGGCGCATACGTACCTTGTGTGTCTGCAGGTTCAAGACTGTAAGGAAAGCGTATGGGTCCGTTTCATTGCCGTCAACCTTGACGGTACTTCCTAGGAGCGGTTGCGATAATATAAGATCGGCGAGTTCTGAGAGATTGAATAATTGCGCATCGACGTCGAGGAGTTGGCGCAACAGGTTCTTAAGCCCGTGGAAGTCAACGGCTGGCTGCGGATCAAACCATTCGAAATCGACGTTCACTATGTCCATTTCCTAGCATGCAGCGGTTAGCTCGTCATGTTACAAGAAGAAGAATTGACCGAAGCGCATACCTCGTCGCTCCCAGAGTCGTCGCCATCTTGCTGCGTGCGCTTCTCCGGCGCATCAGGCAGATCCTCGGGATCTCTCTCAGACTTTCTCTTGGCCATTGGATGTTCTGAGTGTGCGGTATACAAATTCGCTATCAACTAAGCTGAGACGAGTGGAGAATTCGAGCGACGCGACTTTCGCGCTGCGTCGGCGGCGCTATCGATAGCGAAATTTTGGGCCCCGCCAAAATTTGCGAGAGTCACGGAGCCCCTCCTGCGCCTGGTTTCCCTCCCCAGATACCCCGTCTTCTTTCTTTCAACTTTTTTTCTTCTTCTTGTCAACACTTTCTTTCAAACCTAAGCTACACACTTTTCAAGTGTACGTCTTATTTCAAAATGGCGACCGACAACTCCGACCCAATTCCTCCCCACAAGACATTCGATACCATCTTGGTTCTCGACTTTGGCTCGCAGTACACACATTTGATCACACGCCGACTTCGTGAGCTCAACATCTACTCTGAGATGCTGCCATGCACCACTAAAATTGCCGATCTTCCTTTCACACCAAAGGGCATCATCCTCTCCGGTGGCCCATACTCAGTCTATGAGGAGGGCGCGCCCCACGTCGACCACGCCGTCTTTGATCTCGGCGTCCCAATTTTGGGCATATGCTATGGACTACAAGAGATGGCATGGCACTTTGGCAAGAACGCCGGAGTAGCCGCAGGTGAGAAGAGGGAATATGGACATGCAAACCTCAAGGTTGAGAACCACGGCGGACACATGGACGAGCTGTTCAAGGACTTGGGCAACGACCTCGAGGTCTGGATGAGTCACGGTGACAAGCTCAGCCATATGCCTGAGGGCTTCGTGACTGTTGCGACTACGAACAATGCGCCATTTGCGGGAATTGCGCACACAACTAGCAAGTACTACGGCATTCAGTTCCACCCTGAAGTTACACACACGAAGAAGGGAACCACAGTGTTGAAGAACTTTGCCGTCGATATCTGCCAGGCGAACACAAACTGGACCATGAGCAAGTTTGTGGACCAGGAGATTACGCGCATCAGGAAGCTCGTAGGCGACAAAGGGCAAGTCATTGGCGCTGTCAGTGGTGGCGTCGATTCGACCGTTGCCGCTAAGCTGATGAAGGAGGCTATCGGTGATCGCTTCCACGCCGTCATGGTCGACAATGGTGTACTGCGACTCAACGAGGCTGTACAGGTTAAGAAGACTCTGGACGAAGGTCTGGGTATCAACCTTACAGTCATAGACGCATCCGACCTGTTCCTCGATCGCCTCAAGGGCGTGACCGACGATCCGGAGAAGAAACGCAAGATCATTGGCAACACCTTCATTGAAGTGTTCCAGAAGCAAGCCGAGAAGATCAAGGCAGAGGCTCATGCATCCAGCGAGGCTGGTGACATTGAATGGCTCCTCCAGGGTACCCTCTACCCTGACGTCATTGAATCTCTTTCATTCAAGGGCCCCTCGCAGACCATCAAGACGCACCACAATGTCGGCGGTCTTCCCAAAGACATGAAGCTTAAGGTCATTGAGCCTCTCCGTGAGCTCTTCAAGGACGAGGTTCGTGAATTGGGTAAGGAGCTTGGCATTCCAGAGGATCTCGTCTGGCGCCACCCCTTCCCTGGCCCAGGTATCGCCATCCGTATCTTGGGTGAGGTCACCCGCGAGCAGGTTCGCATCGCGCGTGAAGCCGACCACATCTTCATTGAGGAAATTAAGGCTGCTGGTCTTTACAGGAATATCAGTCAGGCGTTTGCGGCGCTTCTCCCTGTAAAGGCGGTTGGTGTAATGGGCGACAAGCGTGTGCACGACCAGGTAATTGCACTGAGGGCCGTTGAGACGTCAGACTTCATGACGGCAGACTGGTATCCTTTTGATGGAGAGTTCCTCAAGAGAGTGAGCAGGAGGATTGTAAATGAGGTCAATGGCGTTTGCCGTGTTGTTTACGACAGTGAGTTTTTCTTGTGTCCTCATCGAGTAAAATATATCTGCTAACTTTGACTAGTCACCAGCAAGCCTCCTGGTACCATTGAGATGGAGTAGGAGCCCTGTGTTTTTTTTTCGGCTCTGGTTGCTTTGCCAGAATATCTTGTACAGCATGGACACGCTTGGATAGGAAGATGACTGGATGTGGATACGAATAGACGATGGATGATAGACCAAACCTTTGATGATACCCTTGCATGACTACTATGAGGTAGTTGAATATGAAAATTCTTTTCAATCGTGTACCGAAGTGCTGCCGGATGGGTTTATTGGTGTTGGAGGTGATTGTGATCTTATCAGTTGGTGGCAGAGACGGAGACCGATGCTAAAATCATACGTAAATTGCACGTGTCATTTTCAAGTGCTTACTGACAAGATCATCGAATTTATCCAAGCATCACAAAATAGACAGTATCGAAGCAAAAATTAGAGACGAAAAAAAAAAATTCTACACACATGAAGATACAATCTGCTCGATTGCGCAGACTGTATAGGCTTGGCATGGCTGTGCAATGACAACATCGGACCCCCGAGACAGTGGCCGCTGGGTCGAGGTGCTGGACCCTTGCATAAGCCCAGGCGAGGCGGGCATTCCGTCTCGCAACGTCGTATCTTTAGACCCTCCTATACATTCATTCCTTTTCGCGCCGACACGAAGAATCAGGACGAACCACGAGAATGCGATGAATGGGACCGGATTCACTGGCGAACACGGCCATGTATCATCAGCCTCGCAGTCCTCCTCGCTCCATGTAGACTCGTCCTATCAACGGCCTGACGGCCGACCGCCCTCTACGCGCCGCCCGTCGTCACGCCCAGGCCCAGCCTCGCACTCAACCTCATTTGCGCCCTCGCTGCGGCGCCGCACAACCAGCCACTCTCTACCCTCGCTCGATGTCGGCGATGAGGATCCCGAGGCTGCAGAGAGCACGCATGCCGAGGCTGCGATTGTCGAGGAGATTGCGGAGATCAAACGCTACGAGGACTTTACGACTATAGATTGGGTGCAGGATGCTGCGCGCGAACAACTGAGGCGCAAGGCGCGGCAGCGGAAACGAGATAGTATTGGTGTGCGAAAGGATGGCGGCGTCAATAAAGTGTTTCTGGGCCGCGGAAGAGGCAAGTGGAGGAGAAAGATTGCAGAAATGTATGACGCGGGCCAGGCATGGATTGTTGTTACACTCGTGGGAGCGGCGATTGGACTCAATGCTGCCTGCTTGAATATCGTGACTGAGTGGTTGAGCGACATCAAGTTGGGACATTGCACCACGGCCTTTTACCTTAACGAGCATTTCTGCTGTTGGGGCGCCGAAGGAGGATGTGCCGAGTGGAAGCACTGGACGGGGTTCTGGCCTGCGAATTACTTTCTCTACATCCTCTTCGCAGCGCTCTTCTCTTTTACGTCTGCGAGGCTGGTCAAGAGCTTCGCACCGTATGCAGCGGGATCCGGTATCTCGGAGATGAAGTGCATCATTGCGGGATTCGTCATGAAGGGCTTCCTGGGCTTCACGACGCTCTCTATCAAGTCGATTGGGCTGCCTCTAGCCATTGGCTCGGGCTTGTCGGTCGGTAAGGAGGGACCCAGCGTACACTATGCTGTCTGCACGGGAAATGTGATTAGTAGGTTCTTCGACAAGTACAGGAGGAATGCTGCCAAGACTCGAGAGATTTTGAGCGCAAGTGCGGCGGCGGGTGTCGGTGTGGCGTTTGGAAGTCCCATTGGAGGCGTACTGTTCAGCTTGGAGGAGATGAGCAATCAGTTTCCGCTCAAGACGCTCTGGAGAAGCTACTTTTGTGCTCTGGTTGCTACGGCCGTTCTAGCTGTAAGCAGCCCTCATCTTGTCCCTATGCTGTCAGAAAAAACAAGACTGACTGAAGCTCCTATAGGCGATGAACCCCTTCCGTACCGGCCAACTGGTCATGTTCAACGTCTCATACGATCGTTCCTGGCACTTTTTTGAGATTGTCTTCTACCTCATCATTGGCGTTTTCGGCGGTCTCTATGGGGCCTTTGTCATCAAGTGGAATCTCAAGATGCAGGTCTTTCGCAAAAAGTACCTTGCTGCATACCCTATTACTGAGGCTGTCACCCTGGCCGTCATCACGGGTGTTATATGCTACCCCAACATGTTTCTGCGCATCGACATGACGGAGAGCATGGAGATATTGTTCCGAGAGTGCAAACAGGGCAAGGATTACGACAGGTTGTGTGATGCGGCACAGAGGTGGCATAATGTTGCGACGCTTGCTATTGCAACTATCATAAGAACCTTGCTGGTTATTATATCGTTTGGGTGCAAGGTGCCAGCCGGTATTTTCGTGCCCAGTATGGCCATTGGCGCGGCGTTTGGCCGTATGGTGGGTATCTGTGTCCAGGCCCTTCACGAATCCTTCCCTACTTCAGCTTTCTTTTCGGCTTGTGGACCAGACGGACCATGCATTACACCGGGCACATATGCGTTCCTTGGAGCAGCTGCATCACTGAGTGGCATCATGCACATCACCGTTTCGGTGGTTGTTATCATGTTTGAGATTACAGGCGCGCTGACTTATATTCTTCCCACCATGATTGTCGTCGGTGTCACAAAAGCAGTGAGCGAGCGGTTCGGACATGGCGGAATCGCGGATCGCATGATCTATCTTAACGGTTACCCGTTCCTGGATAGCAAGGAGGAGCACACTTTTGGCGTACCAGTCTCTCAGGTCATGGAGAGCCGCGTCGTGTGCATATCGGCTACTGGAATGAAGCTACGACAGATGGAGCACCTTGTGAATGAAAACCAATACCAAGGATACCCCATTGTCGAAGACTTGAAGACGAAGGTACTGGTTGGATATATTGGGCGCACAGAGCTTCGGTATGCCATTGAACGCGCAAAGATAGAGCCACACGCCCCACCGCACGCCAAGTGCTATTTCACACATCCATCTGCACCTACTCAGAGCACCATGCAAACACGTGGGGGAGCTGGAGAATCGCCAAACACGACGTTCGAGTCTATTCCTAGTACCTCGTCGCAGACCAATCTCGACTTTACACGATTTGCTGATCCCACTCCGCTGTCCGTCCATCCCCGTCTGCCCCTGGAGACGGTCATGGAAATATTCAAAAAGGTAGGACCGCGAGTTATCTTGGTTGAGTATCGCGGCCAGCTCACCGGTCTCATTACTATCAAAGACTGCCTGAAATACCAATTCAAGGTAGAGGCGGAGCATGGTAGTGCCGGTGGTACCAATGGCGACGAGGGCATGGAGAGACTGGCGGCATTTGGAAAGCGTATCATCAATTGGGGACGGAGGAAAATGGGGATGAAGGAGGTCGGGGAGTTGAGGCTTGCTAGTCCGATGCCTGAGCAGGGGACGGGGGGGAGGCGCGGTGAAGCTTTTGCTATTGGCGCGGATGATGAGAGCGACGATGACGGCGGCTACCAGGGCACGGAACTTGATGATAGGAGGGCTGATAGGAGTAGATAGTCAATCTTTGCACCAACAAAGCTAACGCTGCGCCAATGATGGATGCTCTCTTTTATGTGGTAGCCCGGCCGGCGCACTATGGCGGTGTTAGAGATTGAATTGGAGGAGCGGGAGGGCTAGTTTGGAAAAGTGGGCCTGTCAACGTCGTACTTTCACGTGGAGAGCTATTACTTGCTGCTCTGGCCGTGCTCATGTCTGGGGTGTCAAAGTCGTCAAAGAAGTATTGACAGGACAACAGGAGCAATCGCCACAAGACTAGCTGTCCAAAACACGTGCCGAGTGCGAGTAGAATAATCGTATGTTCTTGTGCTCCCATTGCCCGTGCCAGACATGGAGAGACGAATCAACGGGCGGGGTTGTGCGGCTGCAGGGGCGGCGGTGACACTAGGCAGGCAGGGTAAGCGTGTGACGACCGTGCGCGCGTACTTCGCGTACGCCTACTGTGAATTATCAGACCGACAACACATCATCACCACCACCCGGTCGCCCCCCAAGCGCCCCTTTGCAACTAGTAATTGCCCCCTCCAAACCACCGTTCCCTCACTACCCCGCCCTCCGACCGCGGAGCCACATGTCTCCCTAGCGACCGAGACCCGACCGACACTCAACCATGGAGGGACCATTAAACCCAGGGGCCCCGAATGGCAATGGCAGCATACGCACTCCCAGCCCCTCACCGCCCTCGATAGACCCCCAGCTCATTGTCGACCACCTGGAAAAGGTGCTCGATGTCAGCTTGGGTGCATCCAAGGAGGACCTGTATGCCACCGGCAGTCTGCTGTCGTCGGCCAAACTTCCGGATACACTGCAACGATGCGCCCGCTTCGCCTCCGAGGGGCAATCGGTGCTATATGTAGTCAAGGAACGAGCAGATGAGGCTCGCATCGATGGCATGGACAGCGCGAATAGCAAGTTCCCCTCTACTGCGGAGGATGGAGCATCCACACTGACTGAAAGTGCAGGCGCCACCCAGCACTTTACCTATACCCTCTCGAGTGAGATCACAGCTTCTCCCACTTGCGCCGCATTTGTTGTTATTTCCAAGCGACCGATACCCATAGACCCCGCGATACCCCTTAGCCAGCAGGTCCTTATTCAGACCCTGCCTGGCTTTATACTTTCTAATAACGCTTCTTCGCCCGACGGCACGCCCTATGAATTCCTCCGTTCGCTCATTCAGTCGGCCGTCGAGCCCTACTTTGACACGTACACAAAGAGTCAGCGTGACTTGGCGGGGAAATATAGCAAGGGTGACAATGATGCGAGGACGGGCATTTCGGCAACGAGGAAGAAGATTGCAGAGTTGGCTGTGAGCTTGGGCAATCTTGAGCAGAATGTCGAGATTCCTGAACTGCTTCTGCCTCTGCATCCACTCATCCAGAGTGCTTTGGACGAGGCCAACCAGCGCGGTGTGAAGCCCTCTCCAGAGCTTATCCCCGCTGCTATTGTGCAGGACAGCAGTTTTCTCAACGGATTACAGGCGACAGTCAATGGATGGATCAAGTCGATACAAACCATTACGAAGACTTCTCGCGATGTCTCGACTGGAACAGCTGCGCAGGAGATCAACTTCTGGATTTCCATGGAATCAAGGCTGCACGATATCGAGACACAGCTTGGAAGTCCCGGTGTGAGGCTCACGCTGGATGTGTTGAAAAATGCAAAGCGTTTCCAAGCGACTGTCAGTTTCAGCGCAGACACTGGTCTGAAGGAGAGTACGGATCTTGTGCAAAAGTACAACCAGCTTATGCGCGAATTCCCACTCGATCAGCTGCTGTCTTCAACTTCACTCCAGGCAGTTCAGGAAGCAATTCAATCCATCTTCAGCCACATGAACAAGAAACTCCGTATTTGCCCCTACCCTGTTCGTCGCGCCCTGCCCCTCGTAGAGGCGATTTCCGGTGATCTCGATAAACAATTGCATAATCTGCTTCATGGCAAGACTCTCATGCACATGGATTATCCCGAGTTCCAGGCCATTATGGCAGTTGCTGAGAGTATCTGGCGCACTTGGGAAGAGAATGTTAAGGAGTTCACCAACGTTGCACGTGAAGTGACGAGGCGAAGGAATGAGAAGTTCATTCCCATCAAGATTGCTGCGCGACACAAGGAGACGGAGGAGCGTATTCGCTACATCACTACCTTCCGCAAGAACCACGAGCAGCTCCAGCGAACCATTGTCAATGTCCTGGGATCCCAGTCGTCTTTGTCTGAGAGCGCGCCAGCTAAGGAGGCCGTCATTATCGAGGAGATTGGCGACGTGGATGCTGTCAAGGAGGTCAAGGAGGCCTACGATGTTCTGAAAGATGTGGATGTTCTCGACGTGTCGCCCGAGGGCACGCGACTGTTTGAGCAAGCAGAGCAAAAGTACAACGAGCGTACGTCGCGTGTTGAGAACTCCATCATTGCCAGACTGAGGGATCGCCTTGGTACCGCCAAGACGGCGAGTGAGATGTTCCGCGTCTTCTCCAAGTTCAACCCGCTGTTTGTGCGACCAAAGATTCGGGGTGCCATCTCCGAGTACCAGACGCAGCTCATCGAGAATGTCAAACAAGACATCTTGGCCCTTCATGAGCGCTTCAAGCGACAGTATGGTAACTCCGAAGCTCACGCCATGGCACAGCTTCGCGATTTCCCTCCCGTATCTGGCGCTGTCATCTGGGCTCGTCAGATTGAAACCCAACTGGAGACTTACATGGGTAAGGTTGAAGATATTCTCGGAAAAGACTGGGCGCTCCACGCAGAAGGTCAGAAGCTTCAGGCTGAAAGTAGTATGTTCAAGAAGAAGCTCGACACCAGGCCCATCTTTGAGTCTTGGCTCCAGGAGGTTGCGAGGAGAAAGTTATCCATCTCTGGACGACTTTTCCTTGTCAACAGGAACCGTGCTGCCGGTAACATTCTTGAGCTGAATGTCAACTTTGATGCGCAAGTCATTGCGCTTTTCAAGGAGGTTCGCAACCTGACATGGCGCGGTTATCAAGTCCCCCACGGCATCAACAACATCTCCAAGGAGGCGAAGCGTGTCTACCCTTACGCAGTCAGCCTTATGGAGAGTGTCCGTACATATACTCAGACTGTGCGCTCAATCACCGAGATGGGCAGTGTTGCTCTGCTCCTTAACAACTATGTCAACGATGTTCAAGCACTAGTTGGCAAGGGTGTACCGCTCAAGTGGGAGTCTTTCGTTCACGCCTATGACCTCCATGTTCGGCAGTCTGGATTTCCGGTTGGTGGTGGCAGTGTTCGCAGCGAGAGCAAGCACGTCCAGTTTGTTCGCGACTTTGCTGCGGCAACATCCCTGCTTCAGCTGAAGGTCGCTACTTTGGTGAACATCAACGCTGCAGTTGAGAAGGCACTGAAGGATCTGGAAACATGCTCGTACACCAAGGACGCTTTCCAACAGAACCTTGAGACCATTCAAAAGTCCATCGATCAGCTTAACCTTGAGAACTACGCCAACCTTGCTTCTTGGGTCTCTGACATGAACGCCCGCATCGAGTCTATCTTGTTGGTTCGACTCAGCAGAGCTATTGCTTTGTGGATCGAGATCTTCAACAACGTCGATGAGGAGAATCAAGACCGCCGTCCAGTCAGTGAGCCTTCTTCTACGGAGATCCCAGAGGTGAAGCCGACCTTGGCTCGGTTGACGCTCGAGATTACCATGCGGAATCAGGTCATTTACCTCAGCCCTCCTGTGGAGTATGCTCGAGCAAGCTGGCTTGAGCAGCTTCAACAGTGGCTCGCCATTGTTTGCACTCTCCAGAAGATCAAGGCTTCGCGATATGAAATCAGACTTGAAGCAACTAACGATACTTCCGTCAATCAATTCTCTGACCTGCCAAGCCGATGCACCAATTCACTTATTGAAGTTTACGGTGCTGTTGAAGGAAAGCTTCGCGACATTTCCTCCTATGTCGATGAGTGGCTCCAGTTCCAATCTCTATGGGATCTGCAGTCCGACCACGTCTATGATATCCTTGGTGAAGATCTCTCCCGGTGGTTGCAACTTCTCCAGGAAATTCGCAAGACCCGTGCCACTTTCGACAACTCTGATATCAGCCGCCAGTTTGGCTATGTCACAGTCGACTATGAGCAAGTACAGGTCAAGGTCAACGCCAAGTATGATCAGTGGCAGCAAGAAATCCTTACCAAGTTTGCTAGCAGGCTCGGTCAGCGCATGAACGATGTATATGTGCAGATTGAGAAGGCTCGCAAGGACCTTGAGATGCAGACACTTGAGGCGTCCTCGACCGCTCAGGCTGTCTCCTTCATCACCACTGTCCAGCAGTGCAAGAGAAAGGTCATGGAATGGGAACCAGAGATTTCTACATTCCGTCAGGGCCAAGCTACGTTAGCTCGCCAGCGCTACCAATTCCCATCGGACTGGCTACAAATGGAGCAAATCGACCACGAATGGCAGACGCTGAATGAGGTCTTGGAGAGGAAGAACAAGATCGCGAATGACCAAGCTGACGCATTGAGAGCTAAGATCGCTGCGGAAGACAAGGTCGTCAACCAGAAGATCGTTGATATCACTGGAGAGTGGGCTGAGGAGAAGCCTGTGGCTGGCAATCTTGCACCTGCGGATGCTTCAGCTGTTCTGGCCAAATTTGACCAGAAGCTCAGCCAGCTTCAGAACGAGTCCAGCAATATCTCGAAAGCCAAGGAGGCTCTTGGCTTGCCACCTTCTCCAGAGAATGCACTTGAGACTCTGCTGGAAGAAGTACAAGATTTCAAGTCGGTCTGGTCTGCACTTGGCACGATCTGGGCCAGTATTGACGATCTTCGTGAGGTCCTGTGGACTAGCATCCAGCCTCGCAAACTGCGACAAAACCTTGACAACCTTCTCAAGATGACCAAAGATATGCCTAGCCGCATGCGACAATACCAGGCTTTCGAATACGTTCAGACCACCCTCAAGCAGCTGCTCAAGGAGAACGCGATCCTGGCAGAGTTGCGCTCCGATGCTGTGAAGGAGCGTCACTGGACAAGGATTTTCAAGAACCTGAGGCCTCACAAGCGATACTCTGCTATTTCCATGACTCTCGGCGATGTCTGGGATCTCAAGCTTGGCCCTAGCGAGAAGATTATTCGTGATGTCATTACTCAAGCCGCAGGTGAAATGGCACTCGAGGAGTTCTTAAAGCAGGTCCGTGAGACGTGGCAAAACTACGCTTTGGAACTTGTCAACTACCAGAACAAGTGTCGTCTCATCAGGGGCTGGGACGATCTGTTTGCCAAATGCAGTGAGAATCTCAACTCCCTCCAAGCTATGCGACATTCACCCTACTACAAAGAGTTTGAGGAGGAGGCGTCGTCTTGGGAAGACAAACTAAACCGTGTGCACGTCCTTTTCGATGTTTGGATCGATGTACAGCGCCAGTGGGTTTACCTCGAAGGTGTGTTTACAGGTAACGCTGATATCAAACACCTGCTTCCCATGGAGTCAGCTCGTTTCCAGAACATCAACTCGGAGTTCTTGTCGGTTATGAAGAAGGTTTCGCGCCAGCCCTTTGTACTCGAAGTTCTCAACATTTCTGGGGTACAAAAGTCGCTTGAGCGCCTTGCTGAGCTTCTTAACAAGATTCAAAAGGCGCTAGGAGAGTATCTTGAGCGCGAGCGTGTGTCGTTCCCTCGCTTCTACTTTGTTGGTGACGAAGATTTGCTAGAGATTATCGGTAACAGCAACGACGTTCTGCGTATCGCTAAACACCTACGCAAGATGTTTGCTGGTATCTCTGGACTTATCACTGATGATGATGGTGTCATACAGGGGTTCACTTCCAAGGAGGGAGAGGAGGTCCAACTTCGTAAGGAGATCTCGCTCGTCAAAACACCCAGAATCAACGAATGGCTCGGTGCTCTCGAAGCCAACATGAAGACCACTCTGGCTGAGCTTACGTATGAGGCTTACGAAGAGTTTGCTCAACTCGCAGGGGCCGATACAATGGATTCGGATGCTTTTATGGAATACATTGCCAAGTACCCTGCTCAAGTTGTCGTTCTGGGAACACAGATTGCCTGGACTCACGCTGTAGAGCGTTCGCTCGCCGAAGAAGGAGCTACTTTGCCCAAGCTTTACGAGAAGCAAGTCAATGTCCTCAAACTGCTCGCTACCGCTGTCTTGGGTGACCTTGAACCCATTCAGCGCCGCAAATGCGAGGATCTTATTACTGAGTTCGTCCATCAGCGCGATGTCATCCACAGGCTAGACAAGGTTGGTGCACGCTCGCCAACACACCACATGTGGCTACTTTGCATGCGATATGTATATGAGCCTGGCAATGATCTGCTCCAGCGACTGAGGATCAAGATGGCAAACGCTGTTCTCGACTACGGCTTCGAATATTTGGGTGTTACTGATCGCCTTGTGCGCACGCCTCTTACCGACCGCTGTTTCCTTACTCTTACTCAAGCACTTTGTCAACGACTTGGTGGCTCTCCATACGGTCCAGCTGGTACCGGTAAGACTGAATCAGTTAAGGCTCTTGGTGTGCAGCTTGGACGATTTACTCTAGTTTTCTGCTGTGACGACACATTTGATTTCCAGGCCATGGGTCGTATCTTCCTTGGTATTTGCCAGGTTGGTGCTTGGGGATGTTTTGACGAGTTCAATCGTTTGGAAGAGCGTATTCTCTCAGCTGTTTCGCAACAGATTCAGAACATCCAACTCGGTCTCAAGAAGGGCGCCGAGGATGAAAAATCACAGATTGAACTTATTGGCCGCCAGCTGAAGGTCAATGGCAACACTGGAGTTTTCATCACTATGAATCCTGGCTATGCAGGTCGTTCAAACTTGCCCGACAATCTCAAGAAGCTCTTCCGAAGCGTTGCTATGTCCAAGCCTGACAAGGAGCTTATTGCTGAAGTTATGCTGTACTCCCAGGGTTTCTCCCAAGCCAAGGAGCTCTCAAAGCAAGTTGTACCATTCTTCGACAGGTGTTCGTCAGGACTCTCCAAGCAGGCTCATTACGACTTTGGTCTCCGTGCGCTCAAGAGTGTGCTTGTTAGCTCTGGTGGGCTGAAGCGTGCTCGCCTTGCCCATCAACAAGACAGTACAACACTGGACGAAGAAGGCATGGAGCCCCAGATTATCATTCAGAGTTTACGCGAGACCATAGCACCAAAGCTCATCCGTTCTGATGTTGAGCTTATGATGGCTATCCAGGAAGAGTCATTCCCTGGTGTTCAGTACATTCCTGCTCCTCTCGACAAGCTTACTGAAGCGATCCACAAGTGCGCTGCCGAGTCTAAACTTGTTGTTAGTGACGCATGGATGACAAAGATTGTCCAATTGTACCAGATCCAAAAACTGCACCACGGTGTCATGATGGTTGGATCTTCCGGTTCTGGAAAGTCCGCTGCTTGGCGGACACTTCTCTCAGCTCTCCAGGCTGTAGAGGGCGTAGAGGGCGTTTGTCACGTTATTGACCCCAAGGTCATGTCCAAGGAGCAGCTTTACGGAACGCTCGACAGCACAACGCGCGAGTGGACAGACGGTCTTTTCACTAGCATTCTGCGTAAGATTGTAGACAACCTTCGTGGTGAAGACAGCAAGCGTCACTGGATCGTATTTGACGGTGATGTTGACCCCGAATGGGTTGAGAACTTGAACTCCGTGCTCGATGACAACAAGCTCCTCACGCTGCCTAACGGAGAGCGTCTCAATCTTCCGTCTAACGTTCGCATCATGTTCGAAGTGGAGACTCTCAAGTACGCTACGCTTGCTACAGTCTCTCGTTGCGGTATGGTCTGGTTCAGTGACGACACTGTCGAGGTAGACATGATGATCAAGAACTACATTGAGCATCTCAAGACCGTACCATTTGAGGATATCGAAGACGACTCGGTTGCTCCTGGACAAATGTCACAGAAGACTCTCACCACACAAGGAGTCATCGCTGACTTCCTGCACATCAAGCTTACTCAGGACCGCTTCATTGAAAAGGCTCTCAGCATGGCCAGGAAATTCAAGCACATCATGGAGTACACTGATATTCGTGCGCTCAATACACTGTTCTCGCTGCTTAATAAGGCGTGCCGCAACGTCCTTGAGTACAATGTGCAACACCCAGACTTTTCACTTGAAGACGACAAGATGGAGACATATCTTGCCAAGAAGCTGCTTGTTGCTCTGGTCTGGGCATTGGTTGGTGATTGTCCTCTCAGGGAGCGTAAAGAATTCGGTGACCTTATCGCTGGCCTTACCGATGTCGAGCTTCCTACTCTGAATGAGTCCACTTCGCTCATCGACTATGATGTCAAGCCTGACAGACCTGAATGGGATACATGGCAGAGCCAGGTACCCAACGTCGAAGTCAACACTCACTCTGTCACCCAGACAGATGTAGTCATTCCAACCCTCGATACTGTTCGCCACGAGGATGTTCTCTACTCCTGGCTTGCAGAGCACAAACCATTGCTGCTCTGCGGTCCTCCAGGTTCCGGAAAGACCATGACTTTGTTCAGCGCACTTCGAAAGCTTCCCAATATGCAGGTTGTGGGTCTCAACTTCTCCAGCGCGACAACACCGGATCTCCTTATCAAGACATTCGAGCAGTACTGCGAGTACAAGAAGACTCTCAATGGTGTTCAGCTTACTCCTACCCAAGTTGGTCGTTGGCTGGTCATTTTCTGCGACGAGATCAACTTGCCCGCACCAGACAAGTATGGTACGCAGCGAGCCATTTCTTTCCTCAGACAGCTTGTTGAGCACAATGGTTTCTGGAGGACTTCAGACAAGACATGGGTTACTCTTGACCGTATTCAATTCGTTGGTGCTTGTAACCCTCCAACCGACGCCGGTCGTACGCCCATGGGTCTTCGATTCTTGCGCCACGCCCCGCTCATCATGGTTGATTACCCTGGAGAGCAATCGCTTCTTCAAATTTACGGTACCTTCAATACTGCGGTGCTCAAGATCATTCCCACACTGCGTGGTTATGCCGACGCCCTCACCAAGGCAATGGTTCAGCTCTACAGCGAGTCTCAGAAGCGCTTTACACCTGATATTCAGCCTCACTACGTATACTCGCCTCGTGAACTTACTCGATGGGTTCGTGGTATCTATGAGGCTCTTCGACCACTCGAGACTTTGCCTGTTGAGGGCCTTGTTAGGATCTGGGCGCATGAAGCCTTGCGCTTGTTCCAGGATCGTCTTATCGCAGAAGAGGAGAGAAAATGGACTGAAGAGTGTGTCCACCGCGTTGCTACTGAGCATTTCCCCACAATCGACGAGGAGAAGGCTCTTGGAGGCCCCATTTTGTTCTCCAACTGGCTTTCTAAGAACTACGTGCCAGTTGAGCGTGAACAACTCCGCGAGTTCGTCAAGGCCCGACTACGCACTTTCTGCGAGGAAGAGGTCGATGTTCCTCTCATTCTTTTCAATGATGTGCTTGAGCATGTACTTCGCATCGATCGTGTTTTCCGTCAACCACAGGGTCATCTTATCCTCATCGGTGTTAGTGGGTCTGGTAAGACCACTCTATCGCGTTTTGTCGCCTGGATGAACGGTTTGAGTGTCTACCAGATCAAGGTTCACGGAAAGTACTCTGGCGAAGATTTCGATGAAGACTTGCGTACTGTGCTCCGACGCTGCGGTTGCAAGGGTGAGAAGATTTGCTTCATCATGGACGAAGCCAACGTCCTTGACTCTGGTTTCCTTGAGCGCATGAACACGCTTCTTGCTAACGCCGAGGTTCCCGGTTTGTTTGAGGGTGATGAGTACGCCTCTTTGCTTACCGCCATTAAGGAAGGTGCCCAGCGCCAGGGTATCATTCTCGACTCTCAGGACGAATTATACAAGTGGTTCACGGAGCAGATTGTCAAGAACCTCCACGTTGTTTTCACCATGAACCCTCCAGAAGGAGGTCTTTCTTCAAAGGCTGCAACGAGTCCTGCGCTTTTCAACCGTTGCGTGCTCAACTGGTTCGGGGACTGGTCCGATCAAGCACTCTACCAGGTCGGCTCCGAACTCACACAGTCTGTTGACTTGGATCGCACAAACTACGTGGCACCCGATAGTATTCCTGTCGCTTACCGTGGACTTACCCTACCACCATCCCATCGGGAGAGTGTGGTTAACGCCATGGTTGCTGTACACCATTCCCTCCGAAGCAAGAACGCGAAATTGCAGAAGACGCAAAACCGCAAGATGTACCTCACGCCACGACACTTCTTGGACTTTGTGGCACAATACGTCAAGCTGTACAATGAGAAGCGTGAAGACCTGGAAGAACAGCAACGCCATCTTAACGTCGGTCTAGAGAAACTTCGCGAGACATTCGACAAGGTCAAAGAACTCCGAGCAAGCCTCGCCGAGAAACAGACACAATTGACCAAGAAGGATGCAGAAGCGAACGAGAAGCTACAGCGTATGATTGCTGACCAAAACGAAGCAGAGCAGAAGAAGGCAGGATCGATCAAGATGCAAGCTAGACTTGCCAAGGACAAGGAGGAGATTCAAAAGCGACAAGAGGTGGTCAATACTGATTTAGCAGCAGCCGAACCCGCTGTTATTGAGGCACAGAAGAGTGTGCAGAACATCAAGCGCCAGCATCTTACCGAAGTCAGATCCATGCAGAACCCTCCCGCCGGTGTCAAGCTTGCGCTTGAAGCCGTGTGCACAATTCTTGGCCACAAGCCTGACAGCTGGAAGACTATTGTTTCCATTGTAAGGCGTGACGACTTTATCGCCAGTATCGTGACATTCGACAACGAGAGGCAGATGACTGCTGCACACCGAAGGAAGATGCAGAACGAGTATCTGTCCAAGGAGGAGTTCACCTTTGAGAAGGTCAACCGCGCTTCCAAGGCTTGTGGTCCTCTTGTACAATGGGTATCTGCTCAAGTCACGTACTCCGACATTCTCGACCGTGTTGGACCCCTACGTGCTGAGGTCGACAACTTGCAAGTCGAGTTGCAGAAGACAGAAGAGGGTGCGAAGGAGACCCAGATCCTTATCCAAAACCTCGAGGAGAGTATCGGACGTTACAAGACCGAGTACGCAGCCTTGATCAGCGAAACACAAGCCATCAAGACGGAAATGTCGACTGTCCAATTCAAGGTTGACCGCAGTGTGCGACTTCTTGACAGCTTGTCTTCTGAACGTACTCGATGGGAGGAGAGCAGCAAGTCGTTCGATTCTCAAATTGACACCATTGTCGGTGATGTTATGGTTGCCGCAGCTTTCATCGCATATGCTGGTTACTACGATCAGCAATACCGAAAAGCACTTACCGAGGACTGGTACGATCATCTCAAGCAGTCTGGCATCAGCTTCAAGCCAACAAACCCATTTACGGAATACCTATCCACAGCTGATGATCGACTAAACTGGCAACACAACGGTCTGCCTGTTGATGATCTTTGCACTGAAAACGCTATCGTCCTACAGCGTTTCAACCGTTACCCGCTCATCATCGATCCGTCTGGTAGGACTACTGAATTCTTGCAGAACGAATGCAAGGAACGCCGCCTTACGGTCACCAGCTTCTTGGATGATTCGTTCACCAAGCAGCTCGAGAGTTCTCTGCGCTTCGGTAACCCAATCTTGATTCAAGACGCTGAACATCTGGATCCTATCCTCAACCATGTTCTCAACAAGGAGTACCAGAAGACTGGAGGTCGTGTCCTCATTCAACTCGGCAAGCAAGAGATTGACTTTTCGCCGTCTTTCCGCTTGTACTTGTCCACTCGCGATCCTTCCGCCAACTTCGCTCCCGATATTTGCAGTCGCACCACCTTTGTCAACTTTACAGTCACGCAGAGCAGCTTGCAAACCCAAACACTCAATGAGGTTCTCAAGTCTGAGAGGCCTGATGTCGATGAGCGACGCTCTAACCTCATCAAGATGCAGGGAGAGTTTGCAGTCCACCTTCGTCAACTGGAGAAGCGATTGTTACAGGCTCTCAATGAGTCGCGCGGTAACATTCTTGACGACGACCGTGTCATTGAAACCCTTGAGACGCTCAAGAAGGAAGCCAAGGAGATCTCCGAGAAGGTCTCCGAGACCGCTGGCGTTATGACTGAAGTCGAGAATATTACAAAGGAGTACACTGTTGTTGCTCGTTCTTGCTCGGCAATCTTTGCTGTGCTGGAGCAACTTCACCACCTCAACCACTTCTACCAGTTCTCGCTTCAGTACTTTACACAGATCTTCGAGGCGGTTTTGCGCAAGATTCGCAACTCTTCGATCACTGGACATGCAGCGCGCATTGAGCAGATTGTTACTGAGCTCTTTGTCGACGCTTACCGCCGTACCTCGCTGTCCTTGCTCCAGAAGGACCGTGTTACTTTCGCCATGCTGCTTGTGCAAGCAGCACCCTACAAGATGGACAAGACACACATTGACCAAATTCTCGACCCTGACCTTAAGGGCATCGATGTGTCGACCGAGATGGATCGCAAAGCAGAAGCCATGGAGCGTGCAAGCAAGATTCCGATTTTCAAAGATGTCCTCGAGAAGATTGACGAGAGCGCCTGGGATGCATTCCTTAACGAAGAAATGGGAGAGCGACACGTGCCGCAGGCTTGGCCAGAAGATCTTACCAAGTTCGACCAGCTCCTGCGAGCTCTCATCCTCGTCAAGCTGTTCCGTGTTGACCGCTTTGTTCCTGCTGTGGAGCGATTTGTCACTGAGGTCTTTGGCAAGGGTATTCTCGATGCAAGTGGTGACTTGGGTGACATTGTTAAGCAAGTCAACGCCGTCACCCCAGTTGCTCTCAGTTCCAGTCCTGGATTCGACGCCAGCTACAAGGTCGACAACCTTGTCGAAAGAGAGCAAGTCAGCTGCTCCAACATTGCCATGGGTTCCAACGAAGGTGCCGCGGCAGCAGACAAGGCTATCGCTAACGCCGCTACTACTGGCAACTGGGTACTTGTCAAGAACGTCCATCTCACACCCCAGTGGCTGCAGTCGCTCGAGAAGCGTCTTGAGGCACTCAAGCCCAACCCTGACTTCCGCCTGTTCCTTTCCATGGAGTCTAGCCCGAAGATTCCTGTCAACTTACTCCGTGCTTCGCGTGTCCTGTCATACGAGCAGCCCGCTGGAGTGCGCGCTAATATGAAGGACTCCTTGTCGTCCTTGGCAGAGAAGGCAACCAAGCCACCTGTGGAGAAGGCCCGTGTCTACCTCCTGTTGTCTTTCTTGCACGCGGTCATTCAAGAGCGTCTGCGATATGCACCTACATTGGGATGGAAGGGCTTCTGGGAGTTCAACGACAGCGATGTAAGTGCCCTTGTATATTTTTCTGCGATACACATGCTAACCATATCCAGTACGAATGCTGCAGCTTCATCATCGACACATGGATCGACACCGTTGCCCAAGGCCGCTCCAACATTGCGCCAACCAAGATCCCATGGGAGATGCTACGCTATCTCATCACGGAAATGTACGGCGGCAAGATCGACAACACGGAGGATTGGCAGATTCTCTCATCTCTTGTCGATTCGTGCATGACTCCCGCGGCGTTTGAAGACAACTTCAAGATTGTCAAGGAGACGGAGCACAGTGAGGGTCTTGAGCTGCCTAGCTCGACCAGCTGGAAGGACTTTATGGGCTGGGTCAATGACCTGCCTGAGCGCGAGCCACCAACGTACTTGGGTCTCCCAGCCAATGCGGAGAAGTTGCTGCTTGTGGGCCAGGCGAATGATATGGTGGGTGGATTGAAGAGGGTGGTGGAAATGTTGGATGAGGGTGAGCAGATTATGGCTGAGGCAGAATCTTAGGTAGAGCGGTAAGACTCTTTACTTGCTTATAAGGGCGGTTTGATTTGTGGATTGAGCTGACGTGGAATGGATGTTTTTCTTTTATTTTCAAACGGCGTACTAGGCGCGAGGGCATCGTCTTTGGTAGTTATGTTTATATACCCTTCTTCTCTTGTACTCATGTGTTCATTTCTCATCTCACCTGGTGTGTTGTGGAAAGGGGAATGGAAATGTGTTCAAGCTTTGGAAACACGCGTTATGGTATGTTGCTATTCTCTATCTATTTTCGGTCACTGGCATACATCCACTTGTCCCTAGGAGTTCCAAAAAGAGCAGGTCAATTAGATTTCTTCATGGAAAAATAAGAAAGGATGAATGAACAAGTACAAGGATATACAACACTACTACTACAACAAAAAAATCATGAGACCAAAAAAAAACGAAAAAAAAAACGGCTGTACAAAGACAGCAAACAAGCAATACGAAACTGGTATTAGCCAACGCGACAAAAAAAAGCATATTAATCGAGAATGAAACACTACCAACAACATCTCTCCTCACGCGCCCTCCCCTTCCAACCCAGGGAAAAAAAACCATTAGCATCCAACACACTACCCGGCGGCCTCGTCGGCTCCACTGCCCAACCTCTGCTTCTTAAACTGCATCCTAACGCCGAGCCTCTCTCTGGTGACAGCCGCGAGCTTCTCATTGACAGCGTGAAACTGGGCCTGCCACTTGTCCATCCAGATAGTCTTTCTTTCCTCGAGGACATCCATTTCGTGCTGGAGGGCGTTGATTTCGCGGGTGAGTGTCTGCTCCTTCATGACGATGCGGGCGAGGTCTTCGAACTCTGCGTCTTCGGCTGAGCGCTTGGGGTTGCCGCGGAGGGGGTGGTGGAGGAGGGCTGGGGATGAGACGGTATTGGAGGGGTCGGTGGTAGTGGTGGGGGTGATGGTGGCGGGAAGGTGTGGGGAGGTCGTGTGGCTGGGTGTTTGGGAGCGCGGAGCCATGGAGTAGGCGGATTTGCGGGTGAAGATTGAGGCGGATCTTGGGGTGCGGTTGTGGTGGGGGAGGCGCGGGGGTTCGAGGGCGAGGGTGGATTGGATGTCGCTTTCGTCAATGTAGGAGCTTTCGCTTGAGAGGCGGTGTTTGGCCGGGTTGAGGGCTGGAGTGCCGCCGGCGGCGGCGGAGGCGGCGGCGTCATCGTCGTCGTCTTTTGCATGGGAGGGCGGTTTGGCGGCGGCGGGACCCATGCGGTCGGCGATGTAGTCGAGTGCGACGCGTAGGCGTTCTGGGTATTTCTTCGTTTCTTTGAGGACGCAGTTGGTTGCGATGCCTGCGGAGATGAAGTAGAATTTTACCATTAGGGTCAGTCTGGCTCTATCGGACTGTTCTAAGATGCAGGGCTGCTTTGGGTAACATTTGCTGAATGGGTGAAGGAGGCGCTGTTTGGCGACTGTTTCGGTTTTCATGGGTTCCTCGTCGTGCGCGGTTTGGACGTAGAATCGAACTTCGTGGAAGCCACGCGGTAGGCTGACCATGTAGGCATATATATCATCGCCGGATTTCGCTTCGCGTCCAACGAAAAGCTTCATCGGCTGAGCTTCGGGTATGGATGTTTGGCCAACAAATTGAATCTCTGATACTTCGGGTAGGTTGTCCAGAAGATACAATGCGCTGTGGTCTTTCAAGTACTCCAGTAAACGCTCAAGGTCGTGATTGCCTTTGCTGCTCCTCAAATCCCGTGACGATCTTGCTGAAGGACTTTGTGGCTCAGGTTTTTCGCCATTTATCACGTGCGTCTTACCAGTACGGCTGCTGGAGTGCAAGGTGTAGGTACTATCTGCGTCTTCAGGCTCCGGGCTTTCTTCTATGGCTTCGCGGTTTCGTCTGGCGCGATTCTGGGTACCGTCTTCCTCGTCATGCTTCTCTTCCTCAATTCTCTTGACTGCAGAGCTAAATCTTTTGCAAAAGTCTCCTTGGTCGCCCTCGAGGCCATCAATATACCCTTGTATCAAAAAGTACCACCGGATAAGCATGCTAAACTTGCGCTTCATAGGCTTAGAATTCTCTGCAAGATACTTGAATGGCGGAAGAAGAGATGCCTTCATGACGTCGTCTTGAGTTACTGTCGATATTGACGATGAAGACTTGTTTGAGGGCCTGTCAGGAGGAGGCCTGGTACAATAGCGCACTTCTCGCGGCTTCTCTCCGTATCGAGTCAAGTAGGCAAGTATTTGTTGCCCATCAAGAATGCCAATCAAAAGAGAAAAGGCAGGATTTGCGCCTGGTTGCGGGACCCAGGTCATACTATCTGCCGGTGGCAGAGCATCCAGCTGCGGTCCGGCGCCATAAGAGGCTATGCCTTTCCGAAGGTCGTTGAGTGACATTATAGGCCTTGGAGGGATGGCTGAGTCTTATCAAATGGACATTTTTATTTGTTTTCAGCGGCTTTTTTTTTATCGTGATTGCGGTGATGTTGGTGATAGAAGCAATGAGCGCAAAGTTGTTGGTGTTGACGGACCGCGAAGCGGGTCTGCGCGTAGATATGGTCTGAGCCACGTACACGTTCCAGCCCCTCTTTCCACAGCGCATGCAATCTACGGGATACAAGGTCCCAATGCAAAGGCAGCGGGCCGATAAGACTGCGAGCAATCAAGCCCCGAGCAAGAAACGGGCGAAGGACAGGTTGCAAGGCTGGTACGTGCTGGGAGGACGGCTGGCTGGGGATGGCTGGGGTCCAAGTAAGCGAAAAACACGTGATCACGCGTTGTACCAAGCATTTGGGAGAGGGCTGAATCTATTTTTGACCTTCGTGTACTCGAATTCCTGGACGTTGCCTAGCCAATGCGAGCTTACCCAAATATCTACTCTTTCTATAACCTCCCTCTAGCAATTCAGGAGCAGGGGCTCTGCATAGTAAAACAAGACAAAAGAAAAGAAAACAGAAATATTATGCAGAGGAATACGAAACGCTAAAACGCTGCAAAACAAAGTACTACAAAGGGCCTACTGGAGATGTTGATTGCATCGCTGTCGCCTTGCCCAATTATGAAACCTTGCCTTTTTCCATCCACTCTTCCAACTCAATGTCTGTTTTCCGTCAGTTCCCGGTACCTCTTTGGGCTTGACATGGGTCCCAAAGCGGATACTGCTGCTGAGATGACATTTTGTTTCGGGATTGTCATTCCAGTTGGTTTGGGGAATCGACGAATACGACCACTGCACACAATAGGTGCTGGCCTCGCACGATGTTTGGCATGCTTCTGGTGACTCTTCGCCTGACTTGGCGCGGTCCTTGTCACCTTCGTTGTTTTCAAATAGGATGTTCCAGCGTCCGTTTGACGCTTCCGACGACAGATTGTCCCAGTTGTTTCGTGTAGAGTTTAGGTCTTCCGGGGTGAAGAAGCGGTTCCACAGGTCTGCAAAGCGCATCGGCTGGTGGGCGGGCTGTTCTCTCTCCAATTTAACCAAATCTCCACCCATTTTTGGTGTGACATGGTGCATGATCATGACTTGCTCGCACCAGAGCGAAGGATGGAAAGGCGCGGTGCTGGGATCGTAGCCGGTAATGCCGGGCCATACGGGAACGACAGACACGTTGAGCTCCTCTTGCAACACACTCGTGACTAGATGGTATGCCGACGCATACTCTGGGATGTGCTTTGCCCATTTCTTGATGTAGTCCTTGCGGTCTACAAACAGCTCCACCATGACCTTGCGCGACACGATGAAGGAGGTGCCCGAGGGAGCGAATGGGTCGGGGACGAGGGTCTCGGCGGGTATGGGAGGGTTAGCAAAGTAGTGCTTTGCGTCGGGATTGTGCTGGCCGAGCCATTCGATCAAGTTTGGCCTGTTGACGTATGTTTCATCGTCGACGAAAATGTACCAGCTGCGGTCGGGTCGGTATTCCCAGGCGGCACTCATTGTCTGCAGGATCTTATACTTGTCCAGGATCAACATGTCCTTCCTTTCTTCCTCCGGGTCCGCCTTTATGAGGTCTTGCAAGGGAATGCTCCTCCGCGCAAAGTCGAGCTGGGCGCGGTATCTCTTCAACTCGTCAATGTGCAAGACGACATCGGGGGTGAGGCGCCAGACGACGTCAAAGACGGGCCAGGCGCCAATCTGGGCCTGGAGGTCCGAGAAGAGCAGCAGCATGCCATGGTCCTCGTTGGCGGTATTGAGGATGAGGGGTGCGACCTTGGAGTAAACGTTGATGGCGGTGGTAGTGACGGAGACGACTAGCTGGTCGCGCTCAACCTGGTAAGGGCCGACAGGGGCGCCCTGCTGCTGGGGACGCTGGATGGCAGGCAGCTCTTCGTCGTCATAGATGCGCGGCCATCCCTTAACCCAGACGAAGATGTAGAGGAAGAAGGCGCTGACGAGTAAGCGGGTGGTGCGCGGCATGTGTTTGCGGAAGGCCGACATGATCGCTAGCAGGTGCGGCGGGGCATGAGGGGGTGTGAAGATGCGAGTCGAAGATGCGGAGACCAAGAGATTTTAACAAACGGCCAGCTTGACAGTTTCAGGCCATGGCAATGGCCGTGGTTGCATTTGAAAAAGGCGCGTGTCGCCAACCGTCGTAGTCAGGGATGCGCTGAGCTAGGCCCCACCAGGACCGTCCGGAAGAGCCCCTGGGCGGGCGCTGTGGCGGGCGGGGGCGGCATGGCCTTTGGCAAAACGACGACACGCGTCGGGGCCTGGGATGGCCATGCGTCTGCTCGTCTCAGTCGCCATCTCGTCTGTACATGCATGCCGTCGCCATGGCCGGCTTTGTTCGTTTTGTGACTTTGTTGTGAATGGAACCAGGGACAATGTCATGGACAGCGTCTACAATGTATGTACACAGTCCTAAGTGAGGACATGCCAAAACGTACATGCGCTGGCGAATACGGTATCGTTTGGCTGCCCCTTGGTCGTAGCTTTTTTAGGTCGCCAATCACACGTGTATTCCCTCGTATTTGCTGCCCGCCTGTTCTGTCCATCGATCAAATCCGTCATCCAGTCATCGGGCACCATAGCTGTAGTGTCCAAGGCGAGCCGGTCTGTTGCCAAATAGTCTCCTTCACCATCAAAGTGAAGGTGGTCCGTGCGCCACTTCTCCAACCCAAATAGTCTCCTTCACTACTAGAGTCGGCGGGGTCCGTGCGCCCAAGTTCGTAGTAGAAGAGCGCGTAGAAAACACCAAGCCCTTTTGAACACACCTCACCTCGACAAACCTCTCGCCGTGTCGCCTCCGACATGGCGACAAACACTAACGAGACCAGTGACAGTGTTGCTTCTGAGCAAAACCCTTTGCAAACACCCAACCCGCAGCTTGGTTACGACTTTTCCAGCCTTTTACCACAGGAGAATATTGACGCCATTTACTTTGCCGAATACGGTATCCAAAATTTGCCGTGTTCGCATACATCGTGTACCGCCGTCGTACTAACAAATATTGCCTAGGAGAGACCACAGACGAAGACCGCTACGACTGGATCTTGCTGTTCTGTGGCCTCCGCCAAGATATGATGAAAATCCAAGAAGATATGCGTATCATTGCGGATGAGGGGGTGGATATCAACTCTGCCGCCTCATACTTCTTTGGTCAATTCCATGAGGTCATGCAGAAGCGTGTTGCAGCTGTCGGACGCGGTGAGCCTATTGTCGTCAACGTGAGAGACATGTTCAGCTAGGCAAAAAACAGGCAATGCTAACTCGATACACAGGGCCACCCGGATAGGATTCCGGGACAGATGATGAAGAAGTGGGCAGCCGATATTGCAGCAGGTAAACCTTCACTTTATCATCGCCTCGAGGCTGCGCTTGCCGAAGAGATCAAGGAACGTCAACCGTCGGAGTTACATGGCTTCGACCCAAACATGGCCAAAGCAACTGCGTCAGCCGACACCTTGGAAGCAGAAGACACTGGACTTGGCGAGTCGACGTCTGCTATCGCCGATGCGCAGGAATGATGTCGTTGATGTCGCGCAGGAAATAGGATATTTGATGGTCACGGAGGTATTTGCTGGGTTCACCGAAAGTTATGCTTCTCAACGGTATTCGGGAACACACTAGAAAGATGAGGGTAGTCATAGAGCCTTGGACCAAAGCGCATGTTCTTTGTGGATTTGATTAATATTGACTTGGCCTGGCATAACATCGGAAGCTTCCTCTCACTTCTGCCAGACGCCTCACTGCGACAAGCACACTAAGTCTCACATGTTCAAATACGTATGTGTTGACAATAAGATGGTGTGAAGGAACTCACACTCCATTGTAGAGGATGCAGTGAAATGGCTTGGCCACTGTGGGAAATGTATACTATCTAGGCAGCACTAGCGCTGCTTCCCGTTTCGTTATCAGCACCAACTCTCCGCTGACTAAAACTTGCGCCCAGGCAAGCATTGGCGCATCACGCGATTGTTGTTGTGTGTGAATTACGTTACACAAAGTGAGCAGTGATTGCATACACCGCCCTACATCTCTCTCTTTTAAAACCATCCATCCAGCTGGCTACTTCCTCCTCAGCACTGCAACCTAATCAGGAATCATGTCGCCCCCCAAACTTGCTCAATCAACTCCACCATCGCTTCCGCCCCCAAGACAAACTGGACTGACATGGTCCGACTTCCAATTCGGAAACGATATAGGCGACCTCCCCACTTCTCCAGAGAAACATCAACAACGACATGTCTCCCTAGAACAGACAATCAGCAAGCTCCGTAGAGAGCGTTTCCGCTTCACAAAATCAGTACCCAGTGATCTCAACAGCAAGATCTGCTGTCCCCGCGACCGCAGCGCTGTTCTCGACATCTACGCCGAAGCTCTGAATAAGATTAGTCCCGAAAACCACCGGCAAATCTACGCCGAGGCAAAGATGAAAATCAAGACTGTCCTGGGCATCGCCAAAGCTGGGCCTAGAAACCAGGTTTTCACAAAGATGCTGCTTGCGCCGATTGAGCCGCTGTATGCCATGCCGCGTATTGAGTTCCGCATGGACAAGTTTGGGCATCGTGCAGCGACTAGATTGCAGGAGTGGAGGGAGGATGGGTGGCCTAACAAGTACCCGGAGAATGCGGTTAAGAAGGAGAGGGCTAGAAAAGGCAAGTTGGAGGGCTGGGTAGATCAGAACTGGGAGGATGAGGGGGCGGAAGAGGGGGAGGATAGCGATGAAATTCGAGGAGCCGGAGTTATGTGAGAGAGGTTAAGGAAGGGTGAATCGGCTGAAAAGACACAGAGTTTTCATGTTAATAAATAAGAGGAATTGAGCCAATTGAAGTGTGTTAGCAGAGGATATGATCACTCATGGTGAAAGTCAATCTGTACCGTTTCCCAATGTGTGATTGGATCAAGATTTGTTGACTACAACATCGCACGGCAAAAATGAATACCAAGACGAGTCTAGGGACGGAAAACAGCCATTTAAAAAGAAGAGCATCAGTCTCGAGTGGCTTTGTTATACATTGTTCTGACTTGGTCTTTCACCCAAAACTAGTTTCTTTCACTCCGATACAAAATTACTAGCATTGTCTGACTCATGTTACAGATCAATACTATAGCACATAGTTTATTCTTAAACTTCCTTTCACTCATCTTATATCTATAGCATACCCTACTACATGGAACACACCAAACATCCATATCTACGTATTGGGACCCACGGTGAACGGCATTAATCATAGCCATAGAATAGCAGTATACTATAAAAAGACAGGCCTGACACAGCCTTCATAAGCAAGATTAGTACATAGAGTTAACCTAGATTCTCTAGCCTAAGTGGTCGAAAGTCTATATTCTAAAATCCCTTGTTTCAATCCCTCCTCGCAACTACATACATAACTAACTACACTAGTTTAGAAGCCCCCTCCTTCCATCCCCATCTTAGCCCGTACAGTTAAAGCCTAGCAGTTTGCCTACTAGCAACATTTTTCCTATAACACAAGCGTCTTGTTAGCCTATTTCTCTCTCTCTCTCTCTCTCTCTCTCTCTCTCGCGCGCGCTTCTCCTTGCTTAAATGTATATCCTCTTCTCCCAACCCTCATTCACCGCCACCGCTTTTTTTGTAAGAAAAAAGCAAAAGAAAAGAGGAAGAGATTGTACATACCATACAGAATTGCTAACAATTGATAGGGCACAAGCATGGCACCCTAAAATTCACGTCGCAGCATTTTGACCAGGTTTTTCTGCTAATTAACGATACGCCGTCGATGTAACGGATGGTACCGTATTCTTAGAGGAAGTCGAGGCCGAGAAATAAGTCGGTGGTTAAGGCGAGAGATGGTGTAGTTAGTGGTGAGGACAAGAATGAGGGCGAGGAGTTTCATAGTTGCGGGTTTCGCAAAAGACTTTTGCTAGGTAGGTTTTTTTTAGTAGAGTTGTGATTAAGAGGAAGTAGGAAGGAATAAGTAAGAGGTGATTTTTAGCCTCAAATGTGAACCATTAAAGTATACTGCGTTTTTTTCACATCTGACGGAACATCCAACGAGTCCCTATGAAAGTAACAAATGCACTTTGGTATATGGCAGAAATCTTATGCATAGGGCACTAGCTAGGGGACGATACAGGTTGGGGTAGAGAGCATGAGATGTACTGCATAACTTAAAATTGTGATTTTTAAGAACAGCCACGTAATTCTTTGTGATAGATTAGGTATAGGGTGATCCAAAGAAGAGCCTAATCATCGTTCTAGCATCTCCATGGCACAAAACATTAGCCAAAGTACCACGGTAGATTAGTCAGTTTTCTGTCCTGAAAGCGTATTCCTATGTCATCCGATAGTTCTTCTTAACCTTTCCTGCCAGAGATTTTCTACAGGTCTTAATAATCTTCTGCTAAAGAGCTATGAGACATTACAGATATCTTTTGGGTGCTTTCAAACTGTTTCATTGTACACGTGTACTTTATCTTCGTGCCGTCATTGACGTCAACTTGACCTTATGTGCATTGCCGATAAGCTGGAGAAAGTAAGACAAATAGAGAAATAGCGCAGAATTGACGGGCATAGACCGTGTGGAACTATTTTTCTTATTGGTTAGGTTATCTTTTTCTTCTTACGTAGATGGGGTTATTTTATTGTATAGAGAAAGAGAGGCAGATGTCAGACTTTGTACAGCAAACTGACTCTTGCTTCGACGGCTTTATTCTGGTGTATCCCATGCCGATTTGGTGAGAACTATTGCATCGTAAAATCTATTGTACCGCGTTTCTTGGCGGTAACTTCACATACGGAGAAGTGCCTTTCTTTACTTATCTTATCGGGCATATTCAGGAATATATCAGGTAAGCTTGCAAACAAAGAGCTTGTTCCTTTACTCCGTTTTCCGCCCTCATTTGCCCGCCGTTTTGGGTAAAGCGAGGGTAGTAAACGGATCTCTACCTCATTCGCTAGCGACTGTATCACAGGAGGAGCTCAACACCTTGTATTCTCGAGCTAGAGACACAGTGTTCTTTCTTAGATACAATGCTCGTATTAGAGATTTTACGTGCATTATATGTTAAGCCTTGTGTGAGCCTGAGCATTCAACTTGCGTGGGGCATCAACAATGCAGCTCATTGTTTATTTCAAAATCCCTTTCACAGCGATCTTGTTTACCTGCGCGCTCATGATATAAAATCCGACCAGACAGTTCCTATACAACTCCCCACAAAACACATTAATCACACTAAACACAACAAGTACCTTCACACACAAACACAGAAAAAATCACAACATTACATTAGAACAATACATAAGCAAAATCAGCATGGCTCCTCAAAACACCAAGACTTTTACTCTTAGAGAGCTCGACGCCGCGATAATCATGCTCGAGATGACCGGAAAAGCTACCTACACCGAGGCGGACGTTGAGTCCGCGGTTAGGACACTTAAAGTGCGCAACCTGCTTCCCAGCTGGACTCACGAACAGGGAGTGGAGTACTCACTGGAAGAATACCTTGCTATGAAGCAGGCCAAGCAGAGATAGGTGACCTAGTAAGCGAGTGGGATTTGGAGTTTGTTTGAATTAATAGCGTTGATTTCTTAATTTAGAAATAGGTTTAAGAATGTACATTGTGGTTTAAGATTGGTATGATGGAATTTGATCATTGAGAAGTGTGTGCGAGTGATTGTGATTGATGTATAACCGAAAACTTTATACTAGTTCAAGGCGATTAAGACAGTATTACAGAACCCGGCGGACGTAGGAAGACTGTGATACCTAGCAGGATTGTTAAATCTAACCAATCAAGTACTATCCCTGCATACTAATTGCAATATCGCGCTCTTGTACTGTCATATTTGGACCCCTGCGCACATTTTGAGCTACTGAAGGAGCGAATTGGTTAGGCGTGGCGGTAGGGGTGGGCATTCAAAGTTGTGGTCGAGGTTGGTGTTGGTGGGGTAGTAGGGGAGCTTAGCGTTGCGAAACTTTTGACGAGTAGCTGTAGCATTCCAGACAGAGCATGCCGGAACACAATGCGCCCTCTTAAGAGTCTCCCAGCGGGCGGCGGCTTCGAGCTGACGTCTTTCGGCGACGACCTCGCTCCTCCGTACGCCATCCTTTCGCACACCTAGACGGACGGTCAAGAAGTCACATACAATGAGCTGTTGGCAGGAACAGGCGCAAACAAGCGCGGCTATGCTAAGATCTGCTTTTGCGGCGAGCGAGCTGCTGCAGACGGCCTCGATTACTTCTGGGTGGACCTGCTGCATCAAGAATGTCGCCCAGATTTGAACGTCCTGCAAAACGTGGAGCAATTGGCCGCCAGAATTGATGGTTACTAAGACACCGAACCCGGGGAATCGCACACTGTATTGCTACAGGTTCAATTTCTTCGTACCTGCTAAAGATGTCTTTTGGTTGAATCTGAAGTGACCTGAATTGAGGCCAGAAGATGAATCATAACCAAATCTTCTGCTATGCAGGTTTGGACAACTACGTAACAAGGCATCTGTAAATATTGAAGTGTGAAATAGAGTGTATTAAAAAGGGCTGTATGTATACACACAAAGGTCAAACTTGTTCTTTTAGCCTAGACTAGCTTTCCTACTGTACAAAGCATAGTCATGAAATTGCGCGCCACATATTAGACTGCAGACTAGGTTACATTAACTTTAGTTGGACTTATCAAGAAGAAAAGACGCTTTGGTGAATCACAAAGCTGTGCAAGGATAGCTGAGAATACTACAACATGTATGGTTATCTATCGCAACATTCTTACTCCCTCACGAGTCTTTGCTCTCTTTTATGCTCTGCCTCGCGCGTTTGTTTGTCTTCTTGTTTTCATATTCCTCTAGCAATCGTTTCCTCCTTGCTTCCGAGTGCGAGGCTCTGAATTCCTTCTCTACTTCCATCGTTATTATTCCGAAGAACTTATGAACGATCGATATGAAGTTCTCAGTAATGACCTCATGATGTACTTTGGCATGGTGTCGTATCGCCTCTTCCGGCGAAAATAGAGCATAGCCAGGATAATTTTCGGTCCCGCACCTGCCCACTAGACATCTGAAGAATGGTTCTCCTGGTTGTTCTTCTAGACAGATTTTAGTCAATAGACTGGCCGATTTTTCCCGGAGCGTAGATTTGAAATCTGCTCCGAAGCTTTCCGCCCAATCAGGCGCTGGGAAGGCAACAGTCATCCCACATGTCGCAAAGCCTTTGCCTAAGGTGAAGCGTAAGACGCTTGCATCGTCAGCCCAGACTTTGCGACCGAATTTATGCCAAGCATGAAGATGACGGATGACATAGGTACGGAAAGTCGTGACACCCCACTCGTGGATCTGGTCCACCAAATGAAGGAGTTTCCAAGCACTTCGTTCATCCGCGATACGGCCGCTCCAAATCCTTTGATATAACTGAGCCATCGATATGCATTAGTGGATTGGTTCACGATGTGATACAGGTGTGATATACGTACATAGACAGTGTCGCTCATGCCAGGGTGACCTGCATGTTCTCGCTTAAGACGCGGCCGCCTATAACCCACCATTACATGCCAATGCGCTCCAAATGAAGTGAGCGCAAAAGTTTGGGCGTTTTGGCTCCCATGAAATTGATAGTCGCGATTTTTTACACATGGTGGACCAGGGATGCGAGCGAGTGCATCCAGCATATCTAGATAAGCTGCCCCGGCGACACAAGCTTGATGTCGAGCCTCACGAGGATCGCCACTCCAACCTTTCGCTTCGTACACAGCAAATGGAAATACTAGGTCAGCCTCACCACAACGTGGATCCGAAATAAGCCCGCAGTGTCGGTGCAATGCAAGAGCTTGCAGTCTTTCGGCATCCAATTCGTAAGATGCGACAGCGTTCTGGTAGTGCTTTGGGCGAAATGTTGCTAGCCCAAACGACGCATCGGGTATTCGCTTTGCAAAGCCAGCTTTTCCAGTCAGCGTGCATGATACTGGATGAACTTCAGGAAGTGACGCGTAGTACTCGCGCTTGTCCCTAGAGTCACGTTGTAGTTAGCATCACTTTATTCAATATCCTGGGGAATTACAAGACTTACGCAGCCAAAGCTGGATCGTTTCTCATGTAACCGAAGACATCGGCCCACACGTCCGCCTCCCAAGCATACTCACTCTTATTCCAGCGCTCATTATCCAAAGTGTGCCGCAAAAGTTGTTTGGCTCTTTCTCGGCGGTTTTGTTCCGTAGGACTATCAAACAAAGCGTCTTCAATAGTTGGGATCCACAGATCGTGATCCACGGTCGACCAATGAGGAGAGTAGTAATGTCGGTAGTAGATCCCGCGCGCATTCCAGCCCCACTCACGTCCAAATCTTTCAAAGCTGGATGGTGGCCAGGCTAGTCCGGGTTGAAGATAACTGTCAAGTAAGTTAGCGTGATTTTGGCTGGGTCAACAACATACGTATCACAGTGAACAAAGGATCGCTCAATCGCGTCTTCGATATCGTCTTTGCTTCTCTCTAGTATGTGCTCCATATCCACGAGCTGCGTTATGACGGAAACATATTTGATCTCGATACGTTCCATTCTCTCTGATTTAGGCCATTGCCGTATGACCTTCGTCAAAGCAGCCATGCGTTCCTGGTAATCGATCCGATAGTTCTCAACGTTTATGTCGAGAGGGAATTGAGCGTTCGATAGCGCACAAATAGTGTCATCAATTTCGTCTGGATGTCGTCTCCAAGGCCCATCTGGAAATCTCAACACATCAAGTTGCTCTTCCTCGAGCTCTTCATTCTCAGTAGTACCCCGAAGTCGAAGAACTGGCGGTTTCGGCGCGGACTCGGGTGGCTCAGGCGAGGACTTGGTTGTTATAGAATCACCCATCATTGCTTTGGACATAACCATCTAGAAAAGTTACGAAAGTTCACGGGGTATTAGTACAAATGTCAATTCGAGCACGTGAGCGACACGGGAAATATGCCAAGCTGACGTGCCGTTGTGGCACGGTGTTTCATTTAGGTAGAGCACAAGGGGCTGAAACAATCAGAGGGCCGACGTCACAATTGCTGCTGATATGCATCTCTGAAATAGGCATTAAACAATTAGGGCAATAATATGTATCAACTTCCTGGCCCGCGATAGGCCGAGACGGCATACAGCTAAGACCGCAAGATCTGAATTTGGATTGGTGCACATTGGCCCCTATCTGATGCAGAGCCGAAACATAGGATTCGTGCCTGTTCAGGAAGGTGGACGCATGGTATCGCACGCTCTCCAGTGTTTGTTGCGAATTTGTAATGATTGATGCGGAGAGATCATTGACGTTTCCAAGCTCTTTTATCCACCCCACGTCTTTCATGCTCTACCACCAGCTGCGCAGGGATTATGTATTATTATTATTATTATTATTATTTTAGTTTAGCGTCCTGTGTCAGCCGGTAGGCTATATAAGACGTG